AACTCCAACAATGGGAATTATCTTTAAAAGATGCTCGTAGAGCCTTAGACATGGACCCGAATTCAATAAAGGGTCACTTTTTCCTTGGTTCAGCTTTACTCGAAGTTGAAGCTTATGATGACGCCATTAAACATTTACAACGAGCCTCTGATTTGGCTAGAGAGCAGAAGAAAAATTTTGGTGATGAAATCGCTTCACAGTTAAGGTTGGCTCGAAAACGGCGATGGAATCAATTGGAAGAAAAGAGAATCAAGGAAGAAATTGAACTACAAACCTATCTAAATGATCTCATTAAAAAGGACAAAGAAAGACAATTAGAAGAGGCTCGAACAACAACCAAAGATGATGAAAAATTGGCTTTAATTGAGAATCAAGTTGAAGCCAAAAGTCACCAACATGTATCAGAATTGAATGCGCTTTTCAGCCAACTTGATACTAGAAGGCGAAAGCGAGATATTCCCGATTATCTTTGTGGTAAAATTAGCTTCGAGGTGATGATGGATCCAGTTATCACTCCCAGTGGGATAACCTATGATCGTAAGGTAATTGAAGAGCATCTTCAACGTGTTGGACACTTTGATCCGATCACTCGAACCCCGTTAACCGCTGAACAGCTTATACCCAATTTGGCCATGAAAGAAGTGATCGATACTTTTCTCGCTGAAAATGATTGGGTAACCGAGTGTTAAACTAATCAAATTAAAAACCAAACTGTGTTACAATTAAAGTGTAACCGTGAAAATTAAATCACAACACACAAAGACAAACATATATTACTACCAAACAATTTATCGCCTTTTCCTTCAACATTTACTGTGACATTGAGAAAACCAAAACAAACGCTTCTGTAAAGAAAACTTTCCTTTCTATTATCATAATTAACTAATTTGTTCCCTTAATTTTTTTCACCCTTATTATATACTTTTCATCATCAATCAAATATCACTGTAATTGACTGATTTTTTTTTCTTCTCTTTGTTTCAATTTTTTTTTCTAAAAAAATTCATCTACCCTTTGAATGTAATAATGTAATAATATTAAAATATAATTCTGCTTTTTAATTACTCTTTCTGAACATTTCAACTCTTGAAGAAAAAAAAAATTCACTAAATTCATTTAATTCAATTGTTCACCTTGAATATGTGAATGTGTTTACCTGTCGAATGATTTAACTCTTGAAGATTTAATCGAAATTAGAATTAAAAGTTTGTATGTAAACAAATTAGAATTGTTGATGTAGTGACATTTCCCATTCGTAACAGTTGATTGGTGTTGTGATTATCTTTTAACAGGCCAAGTGTATTTAATCAACATTTTGATAAGTTAATTAGTCAATTGTGTAAAATACAAATTAAAACAGAAAAATACAATTCACGGGATAAAAATATAATTAAGTTGTATGTGTGTATAGAAATTAAAGTAGTTATAAAGAAATTTTCTCTTATATAAATGAAAAAGAGGAAAACAATAACTGTCTCAATGGATTAGATAAAGAGGTGGCAGCGGCGGTGGAGATGACGACGGCGACGGATTTAGAGAGAAAGTATAATTAGTGACAAGTTTCCTATAAGATGATGATCATGACGATGATGATTAATTTAAAATAAAATGAATTTTGTTTTTATCAAAAAGATGAAATGTAAGTTGTTGAGAGAAAGCGTCGGTGTTGTCTTTTCCATTTGAGCAACAATTAAGAGAGACAGAGAGCTAGAGAAGGGCAGATATTGGAGCATAGTGATTAGTTGATTGGTGGAAGGAATTTAAAAGATAAATTCTAATTAAGTTGAGAAAATGGCAATGATAATGGACTCCTATCTTTCAAGTCTTTTTGAAATTCAGTAATAATAACAGTAACATTGTTGACAGTTACAGCTTCAGATGAGAAATTATTACTTATATTGCTAGATGAACTAGACTTGATATTGTTGGTGTTGTTGTTGTGGTTGTGGTTGTTGTTGTTGTTATTGTTCACGATGGTGTTGCTTTTAATGTGACTATTACTGGTTCCAAGTGAGTTACCATCATGGTTTAAATTTTTTCGGTGTTTATTTTGCTTGTGGGAAGATGAGTGTCTCTTTGTTTCAGGCCCAGAATCGCTGTCCACTCGACCGCTGCTCTCTTTTCCATTTCCTTCTTTAATTGGATCATTAATCTTTTCTCTAGAATTATGATCGCCATCTTTATCTCGTCCGTCTCGACTTCCATCTCGGCTTCCTTCTCTACTCTCCCTTCCACTACCATTGCCATCTTTGGTTCGTCCATGTGATATTTTCAACAATAAGTGTTGCTGTTGTCGAGCAACTTGCTGAGCCACCAGTTCAGGATTAATTCTTGGCTTACGGGTACTGGTTCCTTTTCGAACATCACACATTAAACATTTAAAAGCTTCGGCAGGATTCTTATAAGTACAAACGGTACAGTCCCATGTATTCTCATCTTCCCGATTGTTACCACCACCACCACCTTCCGCCATCTTATCCATTGGTTCAGCTTCAATTTTTTCATTCTTTTCTTTTTCTTTTGTTACCTTTTTGTCACGTTTACGTTGAGATTTAGTTACCTTACCACTAATGCTTCCACTACCACTACCACCTGTAGCATTAGAATTATCTGGAGATGAATCTCTTGCTGGGGGTGTTGAGGGCCTAGATTCCTTGTTAGCCATAGAATAAATAAAAATTAATATCACATAGGTGAGTTGAAAAGAACAAGAGAAAGAAAAAGAGAGAGAGAAAGAAAAAAAATATTCAGTGTAAGAAGATCAAATCAGTGATAGAAAGAGGAGAAAGATTTCAAGAACAAAAGAAGAACAATCAATCAAAGATTTAACAATCAAGCTGATTAAAAGGTTAAACACTCGGTAGATGAAAGAACAAAAAACAAGAATTGGATCACTTTTGTCAGAATAAAATTGTGACACTAACAGTTTGTTGTCGTTGTCGCAGTTAACTGAAAGCACTTTAATGTTGGTGGCAGTGGAAACCGAGATGCCCGATGATTGGGTGGCAACAATTAACTCCAATTAATTAACTTTGGTTTAGTCCTTTTTCTACTCACAATTAAAGGAACTAATGAAGATGAGGATGAAGATGAAGTGATGATGATTAAAATGGAATAAAAAATTTGAAAGATAAACTGAAAGAGCTTCTTACTTTTCTTTCTTTCTCTCTCTTTGTTTCCATGCTTCTCAATTTCGATAACCGCCAATTTTGTAATTCTACTAATTTGGAAAAACTTTTATTCTTTTCTATCCAAACAATTAAAAGTCTCAATCAAATTTAGAAATGTCCAATTTTTCAACAAATTGATTGATAACATTTCCATGGTCATTTCCAATTTTAAATCATTCCAATTAAGGTTAATTAGTCCCGGTAGAAATAAAGATTTAATCATAGTTAATCGTTAGGTGGTTAATTGTAACAAGAGTACAAACAATTAATTTCTCTCATTGGTGTTGGTGTTGACATTGAATAAATTGTATATATAAAATAAAAAAAGATGATTAAATTTATCATATAATATTGCTAATCAAAATTCAAATGTTGAAGATTTTAAGTTGAATCCTTGTTGTTGAATTTGCCATGTGATGGATTTGCAATTATGGTTCTGGTAATTTAAATTTGTTCAATCAAAAATAGTTGATAATAATTAGACAACATGTAAAACACATACACTTCATTCAGGACAATTAATTGTTGTATTATGTGGAGATACAATGGAGCAAAAATCTGAATATAACTTTTATTTATACAGCCAAAGACTTTGATTTTGTCAATCACTTGGTTGACCAAATCATTTGCACAGGTAATGATAATCAGGTAAAGATAATTAATCAAAAGACCATTTCAATGGATTGGATTAACTCGTGATAAATGATAGGCTATTGATTAATATCATATCTCTGGTTAACTTTATCTCTCTCTCTCATTGATTATAATCAACTGCGTGAATGATTTGATTTAAACAGTTGATTGTTTAACTCACAGTCTTTGGCTTGTATATTGACTGATTAACTTTCTTTCTCTTTCTGATTAATTTGTTGATTGGAGATTATTATTATTATACTAATAAAAAAAAAGTTAATTGCATCTATTAACATTGTGAGAATTTGTTCAAAGCTCGTCATGTTTAGGCCCAGTGAATTCTTTGTGAGAAATATAACCATTTCGATCTTTATCCTCATTTTGGAAAATTTCTTCAATCAAATTGTCATGGTCAGGGAGATCTTTCAATGTTGAATCGGGAACATTAGGTAATTGTTTAGTTAGATATTCACTAATCTATAAAAAAGAAAGAGAGAGAGAGAGAAAAGATAAAAATTGATTAGTAAAAAAAAATAGTCCATAGGTTAGGTAGATGGGAAAAGAATACAATCAATAGAAAAGAAGATAATTAAATGGTTTCCAGGGGACACAATTAACTTACTTCTTCCCTTGAAAGTTGATTATCACTGTTGGAATCAATTTCTTTGAAAACATTGACCGGTGGTGGACCATCTTCAATGGAAACACATTCAACCTCAAAGAGTAATGTTGCTTTAGGTGGGATCTTATTACCAGCACCATTGTCACCATAGCCAAGGTGTGAAGGAATAGTTAATTTCCTCTTTTCACCGACACACATATCAAGTAATCCTTGATCCCATCCTTGGATTACCTGATTAATTCCCAATTGAAATTGGAAAGGTTCATTACGAGAGTAACTAAAAACATAAACCAATAAGATAAATATAGAGAGAGAGAGAAACAAAAAGAGATGAGAAACAAAACCATTGAATTTACATTAAATCTACAATCAAATAGATACAATAATAGAATATAATTTGCGTAAATTAACTCACCTAGAATCAAATTCAGTTCCATCTAATAAAGTTCCTCGGTAATGCATTTTAAGTAAATCACCTTTACTAGTAACACGATCACATTTTGTCGGTTTGTGAGTAACATCAATCTTCAATTCACCTTCCTCTTCATCACAAGAGACAATTGTAATTGTTGCTGTTAAAAGAAATAAACATCCAACCAAAGGACAATTTAATCTGAACAACATGTTGGTCTAATTGTGTTTAAATCACAAAGAAGTGAAGAAGAAGAAAAAGAAAAACAATTTAAAAAAAAAGGAGAAATGTGAGTAATTCTATAAGAAGATGAAGAGATTTAAAGACACGTCAAGTTAATGGAGAAAAACAAAAACTGCCACAGTGGAGTTTAGATTATGTGGTGGATGAGAAAAAGAGAGAAGAATAAAAAAACAGGTTGTCATCCGTTGGGCAGAATGATGAAGATGATGGTGGATGATAATTAATGATAAAAGGTGAGCTCTTTCCTCTTCCTTAACTGATTAATGGGTTCGCTTAATCAGGGAAACAGTAACAATCTCAATTAGTGATCAATTGGTTAAGAATTTGGATTCATCTCTGTTTCTCTCTTCCAATTGACTGGAATCGTTTTTCCGATTATAGTTGATTCATTTGATTCTGATTGTTTTGATCGTCGAAAGTTAATTTCTTGGTGTGGCTTTTTTTTTAGCAATTTTTGTTTGGTCGAAATTTTCAACTTGTTTTAAATTGTTTAGATGATTTCTTTTTTTATCTACAATTAGAAAGGGTTTAGGTTAAATTGGTGGGATTTTTAGGAACTTTTTTGATTGATTGAAAATGGTTACATTTTTCAATCAAAATGGTCTTGTTTTTGTTTAATCTGAGAGGGGAAAATTAATCACAGGTAATATTGAAGATGATGAGATACAATTTAGGTTTAAATTGTGAATGATATGAATTACACTGATGATTGAATAATTGTTACAATATAAATTGAGTTGGTAAAAGGAAACAATTTTTTTGTACAAGTTTTTTAAAAAAAAATTATCAGTTCAGTTTGTATGTATGAAAGAGTAGAGATGTAAATATGGTGATTAAAGATGATGATGATGATGATAATGATGATTTATCCTTTCATGAATGTTGGATCTTGTTCAACTCTTCTCATGAAATTAGTGTACCATTGTTGGATAATTGAAAGTGGAACATATTGTTCATTTGTATTGGGTAATATGGTTCGAGCAAATGAACAGGTATAATTGAATAAATTTTCCGCTGTTTTTGCTGCATAGGTAACCAGTGAATCTGATCCCATTGGATTGACTGTTATATCAGCAGTTAATTGAGCAATTTGAGTTAATGGTTCACATGAGATACCAATCTGAGCATATTGAGCAACAATGGGTTGAGAAAAGGCAAAAGTGTTCGCAGGAGTTGCATTTTTTAACTTGGTTATCCTAAAAATGGCCGATGGTTTATCATTTGAAATGTAACCCAAGTATTGCCATGTAGGTGGACTGGTTGGGTCAGGCCATGAGAAATAGACACTTGCACCCATCTCAACAGGTAAGGGTGAGGTTCCGGTGAGAAAGACGACAATGTGATTAAGACTCTCAGGACTTGGTATGGTTATCAAAAATTTACCAGCATCAACCGGTTGGAAATCAGTTTGAACCAAACGACCGCTCACAATTATACCAAAGGCAGACATGGTTAATTTTGCAAATTAATTCCAATTTCTCAGATGAACACTTTCAATTTACAAAAACAAGAGTTTCAGATGATTAACAATCAAAACTTGAATTTGCTTCTAAGATTCAAATGATTAACTAAAATAATTAAGTTGTTTTGAAGAAAATTCGATTGATAAAAAGAATCAATTTCTTGTTAAAGGCTAGTTAATTAAAAATTTTAATTCTTAATTCAGTTTTGTTTAAAAGTTGAAATTCCAACTTGAGATTGGATTTTTTTCGATATCGGATAAATATTCAGATATATTTTGTATCTTTTTAGAATAAAAGTCCTAAATTAGGCGCGCGTTTTGAATTGGATTTTTCTCTTTTCCTTTTTATAATTTTTGAATTTAATTACTTTCTTCAATTAAATCTATCGACTATTTATCCAACAAACTATTGTAAGTTATGTTTTCTTAGATGAATAGTATTCTATATGATTTGTAGAAATTTATTCGAAAGATTTGAACCAAAGCTCCTTTGTAATTCTGTTTACTAAAGACGAAAAGTTCATTTATTCCTGAAGTCAAGATGATGAAAATTACGAATTCTGTATAAACTCAACGAAAGATTTCAAACTGTATAATTTTGTCGAAATTTTACTACGTTAAAGTACTAAAAAGTTTTCCATTTCGAATAAGTAAACATGAATTTTCGATCGACCAGGTTAAATATCAAAGTTTCATGATCGGCCGAATTTTGAACATCGAAGTGTTCAGATAAATATTAATATTCAACTATCATTCTTTCACATGTATTCGTAACATTTAGCATTTCGTCAATATAATCGACGAACCATTTATGTATATTTCTCATGTCACTTTCGAATAATTTTTTTTTGGTCTTTAAACATGAGACAATTTGGAAGCCATTCGTCAACCATTCAACCAATTTATGGTAAAAACTCATAATTACTCAGAATCTGTGTTACTAATGATTGAATCTTGAATCAATTAACTTGAATATAAATCAAGGTGATGAAACTATTTCTCTAACCTCCATGAAAATATATATGTTAATCAATATTCGGAAACAGTGACACAATATGAATACTAATGAACAACCGGAAGAGTTTTTTTTGTCCCTAAGAAACAAAACAAAATATTTCTAAAAATAATAATGATCAGAAATGATTTCGTGCGAATCGTTTACACGATAACATCTTTACACTGACTAATCACATTGAGCAAATACAATTAAAAAAAATACATGTACACACATCGTCTAGCACTGATTGGGAAAAGATCACTCGTATTGTAAAATCTATCGATTTAATCAAGTTAATCATGATAATAATTGATCGGCTGATTATCATGATATAATAATCAACATGTCCAAGTGCTAAGATGAGCCACAAAAAAATATTTCTACCCTGAAAATCAGGTTGAAACGATTGACCCTGAAGTTGGAATTGAGTTGATCAAAATCAATGGATTAACGGGAAGATAATGATGGTTATCATATTGTTGATGATGATAAATATCATTATCTAGTAGGAGGAAGAAGCAAAGTGTTGTTGGTAAATAAAAACAAGAAGATGTGACAACCATTGAAGTGAAAAGATATAAAAGTTTTGGAGAAGTAGAATTTTTTTCTCTCTCTCTTTCTTTCTTTTCTTTCTTTTTTTTCCTAATAACAATGATGATGATGATGATGATGATAATGATAATGTTCAAAATTGAATATATGTCACGACCTGTTTGCGTTCTGATGATCAAGATGATAAGGGTGATAGAAGATCAATAAGACCAATTTATTATATTCGATGAAAATTTTGTATCACTTTGTTCAATGATAATCGGTTATAATGATGACAGAATTTTCTAAATTTAATTTCTTCACAATTCTAGAATAAATTCTAAACTGAACTTTACCTTAATCACGATCATGCTATTCCTTGTCCTTGATTTATTGTCAAACAATTTAGTGTTGATTGGATTCTAAAGGGTAAGATGATGATGATGATAATGATTACCTTTCATTTGAATGCTCATTTTAAAAGGTTAACCAAACCAACACCATGATTATTATGGTGATGATAATCAACGATCATCATTATCATCACCATCATTATCAAGACCTTAAATACCCTCAAAAAAAAAAGTTGAGAATCTGGAAACTAAATCAATGATCATTCAAGCCTATTATTCAAATTACAGGTAAAAAAATGTGAAGGAAGAGTAACAAGTAAGATGAAAAAGATAATGAAAAGGATCATGAAGATACACCTGAAGTGATTGTAATTAAAAGGTAAACAATGAAAAGTTACCTTTTACCTTTAATCAATTTCATGGAATCAACAATAACAAGTGATCAGAAAAAAAAACTTCAACAATCAAGAGTATGAAATAATTGGTTTCATGAATATGAGAAACTTTGAATAACATGATGATGATGATGATGATTATGATGATAAAGATGATAAAGATGATGAGCATTTGTTTGTATTGTTTATTCATCATCTTTATCATCAATTTTTTTCGAAAAAAATTACGCATCAATTATTTTCTTATGATTTGGTTCAATAATCGTTCACTATTCTCATGCTTATGTTTACCTGTCCATACCTCAGATCATCTTATCTGTCTACATCTCTCTCTCTCTCTCTCACCGTGTATTGATCTTACCTGTAACTGTACTAACGGTGTTTACCTGTCGCTATTTTCCAGTTACGACACCACCACAACCAATAACAACAGCAACAACTACAACTAGTGAATAAGTTTGTTGATGTTATTGTAGATGTTAAGTTAATTGTTCCCGGTTTCTAATAGTTTGTTGATGTTGATTGTTGTTTTGATCATGTTTTTGTCAATCAGTTGTTGATCGTCAACCAACATACAAGACGATAACAACAGTTATCATCATCACAGTTAATTTAGATACTCAGTTTAAAAGTTTCTTACAACTTGTTCAATTCAAAATTTTTTAAATTATTTTTGTGTTATGAAAATTTGGATACAAAATCAATCAACTTATATGTTAAATTGATCATCAGTAAACTTTTCAACTACTTTTTACCACTTTTGATACTGAAAATGATTAACTTATTGTTATAATGATTTACCTAAGTGATCAATGAACAATTTGATTATTTACTCTAATTTATTTTAATTGTAAATCAATTATTCAACAACTATTAATAGTACTTGGAACAATTGGATTAAAAAAGTTCATAAGAAGAAATTTAATTAATTATTAATCATCTTCTTTTCTCATATCTTAATTTGTGCTCTCGCTGAAGTTTTTTGTTTCAGTTTTTTGTTTATTTGTTTTGTTTTCTGTTTGATTGGTGAGCTTAATTGTTACAATTAAGCTTTAATCAATCAACTTGATCTTCAATTAATCAACCTGGCTAATTCAAGGGAACGTCGGGAAAGGTATTCAACCTTTGGCCGTGATTCTAGATCCAAATTAACTAGTCGATGGGAAGTAGTTCTAGTTTTAATTGTTGTTGCAGCGGGAATTGTTATCACTACAATTGCAGCAATCAAAGCTAAAGGTAAGTTAACAATTAGATTAAGATAAATACTAGTTTTTAATTTTTCAGGATAATCAGTTGATTGCTATAACCTTGGAACAATAATTGACTTGAAAAAGTTTTCCAGGAAGTTTAATTTTTCATTTTCATTTTGATTCTTCTTCCTTCGTTGAACAATTAAGAAGTAATCAAATTGATTTTCTTTTAATTCTGTTAAAGATAATGATGATTAACAAAATGATATCATTTCTTTCTGATCAACAATTAACATTAATTAACCCTGATTATTGAAGCATAAGCATTGGATGATTAAGGTAGCACAATTTTTAATCATTTACAATTATTGTTACATTATCGTTTATTGTTAATAGTTGGTAAAATAATTTGTTTTCATTATTAAACATTCACAATTAACAATTAAGGTAAAATATCAAATGATACAATGTAATCAAAAACATCGTAATCAAAGGTAATCAAATCTAATTAGTCTAATTGAGATCAGTATTTGCTTGACCTCTTTGATTGTTACAGAAAAGAAACTTTTTTTAATCACAATTATAATCATGTCGTTGTAATGATTAAGAATTGAGATTTAATTATTTGGCGCCAATAATTAGTCTAAATTGTCAAGTCTCAACAATCAATTATAATCACAAACAAACAATCAGTTGATTTTATTAATAGATTAATTTTCAAGGTATCAACTAAAATCAATCAACTCACAGGAAGTTATAATCAATTCACATCACAATTTAATCATGATAATCAAGCTAATTACCAAAACAAATGAGTTACCTTAAAATGGAAAATTTTAATTGTTGTTTGATTAGCAGATAATTACGATGAAAAAAATTTCTAATTGTTAACTAACTAACTGTTGATTTTACTGTTGTTCATCAATATAAGCTTAAAGCCTTAACTATCATTAAGAATTGATGTTCAATAGTTAATTGTTGTTATTTTTTGTTTCTCTTTTTTTTTAATTGTTCATCATTAACTTTGTTATCCATTTTAAGAAAAAATTTTTTCTTGTCTTCTCACTTAATGGTTGATAAATTATCGTAATGATTTAGTATTTTAAATGATATAATCAATTGCAGTTGCTTCACTGATTGTGATTAAATAGGGTTACCCGTTATTATCATTGTTTAATCAACCAATATTGGAATCACGTTAATTGTTGATAAATTACGCAAATTATTATTATAAATTGTTTGTTATTTAACTATCGAGGCAAAGTAATACACAATTGTACAATCTTAACAATTTAAACAAATCAAGAAAGTGATCACTATATAATTTTAATCGTGTTTATTTGGTAACAATTAACCCCTTGTGTTCAAATTTATCTGATTACATGTTAATCATTATAATTGTCAATGGTTACTCTCTCAATTCTGATTAATCAACCAAGGAAATGCAAATAATTAGTATCTTTTTGTTAACAATCATGATAATGATGATGTCTATTAGTTGATAATGTTACTTTTTGATTAGATTGAATTGATTAGTTTTAAATTGTATTGATCAATTTGATTATTGTTGATGTTTAGTTTTTTTTCCGTTAATTTTTGATAATGATTTTACTTTTTGGATACACTTTTGATTGTGAACGATGAAAAAATTAATCATTGACTTCGTTGTGAGTGATTAGGTGTTGAAATTAGGAAATTGATAGTAAACAGACAATTAAGTTGATCAACTGATTGAATTTAATCATGAAAATGTAGGAAAAAAATCACTCACCATTTCAATCCATTAAAGTGCATTCACGAATCTGGTGTTTATCATCACAATTTAATTCTTATTTTAATCACAATCATTTTTTCTGACAATTAACCATCTAAATCAAATCGAAATGACTTTTTTTTCCTTCATCAGTTGTTTAATAGACTAAGAGTAAAAATCAGTTCAAAAACAGATAAAGACAACAATTTAAATAGTCAAGATTAAGCTTAATTATTAGAATGATTTAAAAATAATCAATGAGTGAAAACATTGATTAAGAAATTAGATGAAATAAATTAAGTTTATCCATAGGTGATATTTGAACTTAAGTGGTTATTATTATGTATTAGTTGATCCTAATTATCTTGGTTGATTGTTAATGACTTCTAATCACATTCACCGCTGTTGTATGAATTATCCAATTGTTCAGTAGAAATCAGTAATTTATTTAATCATCTTAACGGAAGACTGACCACCGACAAGAGAAAATGGAATAAGAATTTCAATTGTTGAACTTTCTTGACCATCGGTCAAAGTTGTTAATAGTATTACCTTGATAATCAAAGATAATCTATCAGGTGATATCAAGTGTAATCATTTTGAATTATAGTTGATTATTGATGATTAGAAATGAAAGATTTTCATGTTAACACAATTAAAGTTTTACAATTGACCATCAAGTTATTTGTTCGTAACAAAGATTTTATATTTTCTTTTTCTTCTTCTTTTCTATCCAACAGAAAAATCAGATCTCGAAGCGCTTTTACTTGAATCGAGTAACAAAAGATCGCCAAAGAACATTAATTCCAAAAATGTTACCACTCGAAGTTCAACCGTATTTGAAGATAATTATATTAATCGAAAAAGTATAACCCGTTCAACCCCAGTAACGAAAGATGAGTATGGGGACAATGGCAGTTCCGTTTCAACGCTACCGACATCCGAAGGAGAAGTTACTATTGATAATAGTAATCAAGACAATCCCGTAACCTCTTCGTCTTCATCATCATCCCCGCCGCTTTCATCGTCTCCCTCATCATCGTCACCTCCAATTTTCACTTCGAGCTCAACAAGTGAACTATTACCGGAAGCTGGAAGTAAAAAAGTTGATTTCGATGACTATCTCGGAATGGTTCCAGATTATGATGCTGAATATGATAGTATTGAAAGTCGACTCGCACCAATATCGGTAAGTGCACGAGAAGAGAGTCAAAATAATGGACCAGATAATTTACCAGGTTATCCACCTCCAAATGGAACCTCAATGGCAACACTTCACCAAATAGCCAACGAACACGCTGATCTAGCAGCCGATGGTGCGGGCTTCTTATTTGAGGTACCTCCAAAAAGTGAATCATCTTCATCTTATGCGCCATCACCATCATCATATCCATCATCTTCATTATCTTCTTCATCATTATCTTCAGTTCCATCATCGAAAAATTTATCTCCTTCTCTTCCATCTGTTTTGCCATCTCCATTGTCTTCACTGTCATCTTCGTCTTCGTCTTCGTCTTCATCTTCATCTTCATCTTCTCCTTCTTCGTCCTCTTCATCCTCTTCTTCATCATCTTCCTCCTCTTCATCTTCATCTTCACCTCCTAAGCAATTATTTGGTTCGAGGGCAAGTCAACGCTCTGCTCTGTCAAATAAATCAAATTCACGATTAATGTTTTACAAAACTCCTGATCCAGATACTCTACCATCTCTGAGTCAACCTCCGCCATTGTCCGTAGCTGCACCTTCATCAACTTACACCAAAACTTTGGCTCAACCACAAACAACAAAATTGACCCCAAAAAAGCAGCAATTAGCAACTCCATCACCTTTAGCAGTATCTAAATCTCAAGCTAAATTAACCAATTTAGCTTCTCAGGCAGCGACCATTTCCAAACTCCGACAACGTTATGCACCAATCATTCAAAGGCAAAATTTAATCAGAAATCAACCATCAACTTCAGCCCTTGTTGATTATAATTCACCTTTATTAACTCATCTTTTACGAGCTGCTCATCAACAAGAAGCTGCTTCTGCATCAATGGGATTAGCTGGACTTTCCCCATCAGCTCAACGACTCCATGCTCTTCGACTTTCCTCGGAACCGGAACAACTGCCAAATCCTTTATTATCTCACACAATCAGCTCAAGTTTGGCAGCTAATTTTGGCAACATTGCCGCGGCTAATAAACCAAGTTTAAATGATTATCATGTACGAACACAACCAGTAGCTGCACCGATTTTTACCAATCAACACTTTGGAATGCCCGCAATTCGTACAAAAAGATCAACAATGTCAAATATTAACGAAGATCAACAAAGTGAAACAGAATTCATAAGACCAGGAATGGAGAGCATATTACCATACACTTCGGAAGATTCTTCCAAGAAAGAGGAATCTCAAGACAGTGAATCAAAATCAAGTGAGATTTCGACCCATCGAGCTAAAGATGGAACTAAAAATAGCGAATCATCAAACGGAACATCATCAGGCAATGACAATGATCTACTAAAATCAGAAGCTTCCGGATACTTTGCATTCGACGATGAAGATCCCGAATTGGCCTCACTTTTCAATCTGGACAATTCATTTGATAAACCTTCACCTTCTCCTATGAAAACACCCTTTTCTTTGACCTCAACAGATCGAAGGGCAAGAAAACGAAGGCCACAAACTTATTTCCCCGCTGCGACTCCAAACACGAAGCAAAACTATGGAATTTTGGGAAGTGGAAATTTTGAGATTATTCGTGGAGGAATATATTCAGACGACGAAGCTAAAAGTGGCAGCGATACTCATTATGCAAGGGGAATGTCGGAAACTGTTAAATCGTCAAATAACGATTTCGATGAATACAATGAGGCCACAGTAAACTCAAAGGCTCCTTATTCAACGGAAGAATATTTCTCCAATAATCCAGTTCTTGGATTCCAGGGTTATGACAATTTCAGGGCAGCATCGAACACACAGAAAAAGATAGCTCCAAATGGCGGATCTCGTCGAGAATCAACAGCTTCCGATTCTTCTGAAAATCTTCATGTTTTCGTTGACCATGAATTGATGACAGCCTCTTGATTTTCTCGAACTCAACTCACTCTTACAATTAATCTTCTTTGGTAATTCTGACCGATAGAATCTGTCAAGAGAAAGACCAGATCATTTTTTTCTCATCAAAGTAAAAATTAAATAAAAGCCAACACTTAAGGCCAACACATTTACGCTCATGATAAGAATAATCGAAATTGTTTTTGGATTAGGATTCGATAAAAAAAACCTATTGTAATGTTTTTCCAAACCAAATTTTCACTAATGTGCCCTAATTGTCAACAAATCGAGAGAGAAACAAAAACATTGTTTCGAAACTATGAATACAAAGAAACTATCAATATATTAATAATATTTTCCATTCCAAGAGTAAATTTTATTCTTAATAAAACCGTTATGACGATTTACTCAATGATAAGTGATGGTTAATTCTCATAAATTATTGTCATATTTAAGATCAAAAGTCAGTCAAAAACCGTGTTCGAAGGTCCGTTCATTGTGTGTTCGAGAAAGTTTCAAGTTGAAAGTATCAACAATTCAAATGTGACCATTGAGATCACCCGAACTCATAACATCGACGTGTCTATTAATAGTTTGTAGGACTTGAAAATCAGAAAGAACATCGAACAAACTTTAGTAGAATAATAATTGTAGATGAAAATTAAACCTTGGCCTTATTAATATCACGATTATGATTATTATCTTGTGCTCGAAAGTGACCGTTATAAAGATAACTAAGGAGAATGTGAAGTTTTAAAGTAGTTGAACCAGACCTCGAACTTGAGATTGGAACTTGAATCGTTCGTGAATCTTTTAGTCAATAATAATTTTTTCATTGCTTAACTTGGAATTGGCGCTTTTTAATCAAGAATTGATTTCATTTGACCAAAAAGAAAACATCACCTGGGACTTATTGATATACTAATTCCTTGTGGTGTTTACAATTTTTACTTTTAAAAACATTTACTTTGAATCGGTGGTTTAAAATGGCTTTCAAAGTATTGATCTGTTTCCTTTTCCTCATCAATTGTGTTCATGGCCAAGAAAGTAAGTAAAGTTAATTGTGACAATTCTCAAATTAACACGACCGTTTTCTAGGTCCAAAAGTAGCTCCATTTTCATCATTGGTTAAACCAGTGATTGGAGGGAAAACATCATTCACTTGTCAATCTCTTACTGGATCACCTCCATTCCAAATGAAATGGTTTAAAGATGGTACAGAAATTGTTGATTCATCTACGATTAAAATACGAACCAATGAAGAACTGTCATCATTGATTATTGATTCAATTAAATCAAGTTACTCTGGAAACTACACTTGCAAGATATCAAATAGATATGGACAAGATTCTTATAGCACCGAACTACTCGTCGAAGGTAAAAATTTTCTTTCTAATATAACGAGTCTCATTTGTATTTCCGTTTGTATTTTTTTCACTAATTTTGTTATTTTCCGATATTTTAGGTCCTCCTAATTGGATTGATAAACCTTCGAATGTCAAAACTAAATTGTTTCAACCAATTATTCTGAGATGTGCTGCATCAGGTTATCCCAAATCAAAAACTGAATGGAAAAAACTTGAAGGTTTGTTTGTGAATCCATTTCAATGAGAATAACATTTAACTCGATTTTTATTTTTCTTTTGATTTCTATTATTTAACTCAAGGCTCTGAATGGATCAATGTTTCACCAAACAATCAAATTACTATTAAGGATGAATCACTAGAATAATTAAATCAACTCGTGGCAATACAGGAAGATTTGGATGTTTGATTACGAACAAAATTAAACCTGATTTATGGACTGAATTTGATATCTCAGTCGAGGGTAAATTAATGTTATCAATCTCGAATTATTATTTTAATGCTTGAAAATTGGCGCTTTTATGTGATATTTTCGTGAAATGTTCAAAATGGACAAAAAAATATTCTTGTTTACCTTTGACATCGAGACAGTTTGATAATCATTTGTTTTTCAGTTGGATTGAGCCTTGAGTACGATTGACCTTATTGAAAGATGATTTTATCAATTGTGACATTGTGTTTACTTTACATCGGAGCTGATGGACAAGAAAGTAAGTAATTAAAGTAAATAATCAAATGATTAATTGATTTTGTGTTTTTTCATTTAGGTCCAAAAGTGGTTCCATTTACATCATTGGTAAAACCAGTGATCGGAAGTAAAACTTCATTTGCTTGTCAATCTCTTACTGGATCACCTCCTCTTCATGTATCTTGGTTTAAGGATGGAAATGAGTTAACTGATTCATCTACAATTAGAATACGAACTAATGAAGATTCATCCATGTTAATTATTGACTCAATTAAATCAAGTCATTCAGGAAACTATACTTGTAAAATATCAAACAGATTCGGTTATGATTCATTTACAGCTCAATTACTTGTCGAAGGTATTTATTTGTTTCACCATTAATTCATCATTAATTTCAACAGAATCTTAATTTTTTTTGAAAGGATCTCCTAATTGGTTGGAGAAACCAGCAGATACCAAATCAAATCTTGGAAATACTATCACATTAAATTGTCGAGCTGTTGGTTATCCCAATCCTAAAGTTGAATGGAAAAGATTTCAAGGTGAATTCTGATTTTCTCCCCACGATTCGAGCTCAAAAATCATTCGAATGTCTTTTCCCCTAAATTATATATTCTTAGACTCATCTTGGTACATCATATCAGCAAATGAAGGATTTAAATATGATTTCAATCAATCAAATGATAAATTAACGATCAAAAATGTTACTCGTAGTGATAATGGTCGATATGGTTGTTCAATTTCAAATGGGATAAAACCTGATCTTTGGTCTGAATTTGATGTTTCTATTCAGGGTAAAGTCTATTGATTTTCTTATTCTTTAACTTGAAATCGGCGCTTTTATCATCCTTGTTTTGATTTTATTGTCGAGGTTTCTATCTGAACAATTGCAATTGAAATTTTTGTGTATAAGTTTCAATTTTGATTCACTAATCATGACTCTTAAGGAATCGCTGATTGTTTTGCTATTATCGACTTTCACTTTGTGTTATGGCCAAGAAAGTGAGTAAGATAACTTTAAGATTGATTGTCGAATGTTAATTATCTTAAATTCATTTCTTAATTCAGGTCCAAAAGTGAATTTACTCACTCCAGCTATTAAACCGATAGTTGGAGCAAAGACTTCATTCACTTGTCAAAGTCTTTCCGGATCATCTCCTCTTCAAATAACTTGGTTCAAAGATGGAAAAGAGATTTTTGATTCTTCGGAAATCAGAATTAGGAACATTGAAGATTCGTCTTTATTAATTATCGACTCAATCAAATCGAGTCACTCAGGAAATTACACTTGCAAAATGACCAATAGGTTTGGTCATGATTCTTACACAACTGAACTTGTTGTTGAAGGTAAATAAGGAAACAACAATTGTATTGACATTGGAACATCTTAATAAATATTGTCTTCTATTTGATTAGGATCTCCCAATTGGATTGAGAAACCAAAGGATATTAAATCTCATTACGGTGAAACAATTACAGTTAATTGTCTTGTCTCTGGATATCCCAAACCTAAGGTACAATGGAAGAGACTTGAAGGTAAACAAGAAGACATAATTTCAATTTCTTTTTCCGTTCTAATTTGAATCATTTGATTTTCTTTCCATTCATAGGATTAACTTGGTTAAACATTGGATCATCTGGCTATTCCGAATCAAAGATGCAACAATTAGGAGATAAATTAACGATTCGAAATGTAACAAGATCGACCAATGGACGATATGGATGTTCAATATCAAACGGATTGAAACCTGATCTTTGGTCAGAATTTGATATTTCAATCGAGGGTAAAATCTTTATTCATATCTCTTGAAATCGGCGCTTTTAGGTCTATTGGAAACATTGGAAATATTATCATCAAGATTTTCCAATATTATTTTGATCTCTTTGTTGTCTAAATTTGTGTTGAGTTAAAATGATTCGGGGTTTATCATTAACTCTTTTCTTATTCATTATTGATAATAGTTATGGACAAGAAAGTAAGTACATAATGATAACAATCAAAGCTCTTAATTAATGGTTGATTTTATTCGGTCTCTTGATTTAGGTCCAAAAGTAAATCCATTCTCTTCATCTATTAAGCCAGTGATCGGTGGTAAAACATCATTCACTTGTCAAAGTCTATTAGGATCGCAACCACTTTCAATCACTTGGTTTAAAGATGAACAAGAATTAACTAATTCACCTACAGCAAGAATCAGGACTAATGAAGATTCATCAATATTAACCATTGACTCAATTAAATCAAGTCATTCAGGAAACTATTCTTGTAAAATATCAAATAGATTTGGTTATGACTCTTATACATCTGAGTTACTCGTCCAGGGTAAGAAGTCACTTCCCTTGCTTAATCAATTTAAACCATTTTGTTAATTGTTAATTTCACCTTCTTTTATTAGGATCACCAAGTTGGATCGAAAAACCTAAAGACCTGAAAATTCATGCAAGAGAAACAGCGGAAATTAAATGTTCGATTGGAGGATTTCCCAAGCCAAGAGTCGATTGGAAAAAGTTACAAGGTGAAAGAATAGGAAAAAAAATAATTGAATCTGTTTTTCGGTCTAACAGTTTAACTATTCATTTAGATTCGAATTGGATCAATTTAATTACTTCGGACACGATTGAATTAACGAGAGAAACTCTCATTATAAGAAATGTTTCTCATCAGAATAAGGGAAGATATGGTTGTTCGGGATCAAATGGAATCGAACCTGATCTTTGGTCCGAATTTGAATTAACCATTGAGGGTAAATTACCAAAGTTGTTTTACTTGAAAATTGGCGCTTTCATTTCTTATTAGTACATTTGAAGATTTGCTTTTATTGTCGAAATCAAATATTAGTTTTGTTATTTAGTATCTTACGATTGTTGTTCCCTTGCTTTAAATATCATTTGAAACATGAAGTTTATCCTTTTGTCAATCGCTATTATTTTAACGAAATTTGAGGTTTTTGGCCAACAAAGTGAGTATTTTCTTAATCAAGATTGTACAATCATGTTAATAATTTATTTATTCTGTTCTCTAGCTCCAAAGGTGAACCCATTTATGCCATTGATTAAACCTTTGATTGGAGGTAAAACATCATTCACGTGTCAAAGTCTATCTGGATCACCTCCGATTCAAATCAAATGGTTCAAAGACGGAAAAGAGCTTCATGATTCACCTTATATAAGAATCAGATCAAATGAAGAACCATCGACTTTAGCGATTGATCAAATTACTTCAAGTCATTCAGGAAATTATACTTGTAAGATATCAAATAGACATGGAGAGGATTCTCATACCACCGAGTTACTTGTTGAAGGTAATTTCCAACTGATTTTACATTCAATTGGTTGATATTAACTGATATTTTCATCTTTCTAGGACCACCTCAATGGTTAATTAAACCAGAAAATTTAAAATTATCACTTGGAGAAAGAGCAACAATCAAATGTTCTGGTATTAGTTATCCAAGACCAAAGACAATATGGAAAATGAAACAAGGTTTGTTTTCAAAGATTCTGTGGTTGGAACATTCTGATTAATAAGTTGATTTCTTTCTTCATTAGACTCACAGTGGATCACAATTGATAAATTAAACTCATATGATGTGGAAATTGTTGAAAATGAGCTAATCATCACCAAGGCAGGGAAACAACACTCGGGTTCCTATGGATGTTTGATTACCAATAACATAGAACCAAATGTTTGGAGTGAATTTAGTATTTCGATTGATGGTAAATCTTTTATTTAAAAGAAACATTTTCTCTTGAAAGTTGGCGCTTTTCTTGTTGTTTTCTAGTTTATAATCAACTGTTTACCTTTTAGACTCTTTTGTGTCTTTGTGATCAAATTTCGAATCATTTGGCTAATCATCATGACGATGTTTTCCAAAAGTTATTTGATTTTATTCACTTTTATCCAATGGATTTACGCTCAGGAAAGTAAGTATCAACCACCATCATCCATATAATTGGTCACTAATGTCTTTAAATTGTCTATTACAGATCCAAGAGTAAATCTATTCACAGCTCAGTCCAAACCTGTGATAGGAAGTAAATCTTCATTCACTTGTCAAGCATCCGCTGGATCTTTACCATTGAACATCTTATGGTACAAAGATAACAAGGAAATAAGTGACAGTTCAACAATTAGAATTCGAACGATTGAAGAATTCTCTCATCTAATCATTGAATCAGTTTCACCAAGTCACTCGGGGAACTACACATGTAAAATATCAAACGAATTCGGTTCAGACATTAGTTCACTAGAGTTGAAAGTGGAAGGTAAATTTCAAGATTCTATTATTATTATTTACCGATTATCGAATTTATTTAATCTCAGGTCCACCATCTTGGAATGAGAAACCAGAGAACCTTAGAATCCGACTTGGTAAATCTTCTGTTATCAAATGTTCTGCAAGTAGTTATCCAAAGTCGACAATTGAATGGAAAATTTCAAAAGGTTTGTTTGGTTAGACATTCGGATCAATGTTCTCATCTTTAAAATTACTTTTTCTTTTCAGGTTCATCTTGGACATCTCTTGATTCATCGGATTTATTTAAACGAATTGACGACAATCAGCTTAGCATAGTAAATGCGAACCCTAAACACTCAGGAAAATATGGTTGCTTAATATCAAATTCAATCGAACCAAATCTTTGGAGCGAATTCAATATTTCGATTGATGGTAAATCCATTATTCAAAAAGAAACATTTTCTCTTGAAAGTTGGCGCTTTTCTTGTTATTTTCTAGTTTATAATCAACTGTTTACCTTTTAGACTCTTTTGTGTTTTTGTGCTCAAATTTCGAATCATTTGTCTGATCATTGTGACGATGTTTTCCAAAAGTTATTTGATTTTATTCACTTTTGTCGAATGGGTTTACGCTCAGGAAAGTAAGTAAATTGCTTATCCACAGTAATTATGTTATTAATTAATCTTCTCTTTTTCTCTTATTCAGGTCCAAAAGTGAATCCATTTACATCATCGATAAAGCCTGTGGTCGGTGGGAAAACCTCATTATCTTGTCAAAGTTTATTTGGATCTCCACCACTCGAAATTAGTTGGCTTAAAGATGGAAAGGAAATCTCTGATTCCAATTCGATTAAGATCAAAACAATTGATGAATCTTCTATTCTTATAATTGATTCAATCACATCATCTCATTCAGGAAACTATTCTTGTATAATATCCAATAGATATGGTCAAGATTCATACTCAACTCAATTGATCATTGAAGGTATTATATTGATTTCTATTGTAACATCCTATCATAATATTAATAGTTATCTAATTGTTTTCTCTAAAGGTCCACCTCAATGGTTGATTAAACCTGAAGATATTAAAGCAAAAGTGGGTGAAAAATTATCAATCAATTGTGTTGCCTCTGGTTATCCTATTCCAATGAGTCAGTGGAAAGTTCATCAAGGTTTGGATATTACTTGGGCTCTAAGGCTGAATTGACTGATCATATCTCTAATTTCTAGGAAATAATTGGATTGGTATAGAACAGTCGAGATTATCAGATTATAAAATCACTGGGAATCAACTGATTATTACGAAAACAAATCGACAACATGCTGGAAAGTTTGGTTGTTCAGTCTCGAATAATATTGAACCGAATCTTTGGAAAGAGTTTCAATTATCAATCACCGGTAATCTATTCACTTATTTGATGCTTGAAAACTGGCGCTTGTTGTATCTTTTTCATTTTCTAGCTTAAGAAACTAATCAAAAGTCTTTGTTACTGTGAAGACAAAAATTTATAAAGAATTGGTATCAGATCGTGAATCGTTGTTCAGTTACCAATGAAGTCTCATCTCAACTTTGGTCTGGATTCGAGATTTCTATCAATATTTATAATATTTGCTTGAAAATTGGCGCTTTCTTGTCTTATTAGTTATTCAAAAACTATTCATCTAACCAACTTATTGTCAAAACAACAACATTTGCTTTAAATTGTTTACATTTGTAACAATTTATCAACAATACAGAACTTCAGATATGATAACTTTAACCATCGTTTTGATAATCGGGTTTTGTGTGACCGATGCTCAGGAAAGTAAGTTGTTGGTGTGAAATATTTGATACTAATTAATGTTTATGTTATGATTTAGGTCCAAAAGTGAATCCATTTGCTGCATTGATTAAACCAGTGGTTGGAGGAAAAACATCATTCGCTTGTCAAGCTCTTTCAGGATCATTGCCTTTGTCTTTTATCTGGTTCAAAGATGGAAAAGAAATCAAGGAAATGTCACCAATTAGGATCAGAGAAAATGAAGATATGTCAACTTTGTTTATCGATTCAATTTCTTCAAATCATTCAGGAAATTATACTTGTAGAATCTCCAATAGATTTGGTTGGGATGAGTTTTCAATCGAGTTGAACATTGAAGGTACAAAGAGACAAGACAGTTAATGTTACATTTACATACGAAATGTTTAACTTTTTTTGTGCTATTCTATTGTGTCAAGGGCCACCCTTTTGGAAAGAAAAACCCGAAAATATAAAAATTCACATGGGTGATAGTGTTTCGGTCAAATGTTCAGCTCTTGGTTTTCCAAGACCTAAAGTTATTTGGCAAAGATACAAAGGTTATTATTATTGTTTCATTTTCTTCATTCAAACATTTCTCATTCATTTGTTTTCTTTTTTCTCTTCCATGTTTAGAATCCCTTTGGACTCCAATTGATAAACATGAATCAACAATAGAATCAAATTCTGATGAATTAATAATCAGAAAAGGTTATTCGAACCACTCAGGTCAATATGCTTGTTACATAAGCAACGGAATTGAACCTGATTTAAGACACGAATTTTCAATCTCAATTGATGGTAAACTTTGTTAATCTTTAGATACTTGAAAAATGGCGCTTTTATCAAGATTATTTTGACAAAATCAAGTTTATTTTTCTGTTTACAAAGAGTCAAAGGTTTTGGTCTCTAACCTTTACACTTATTTGGATAAAATTTCTGGGTATTTTTGATTCCCTTTGGACAGTCACCTCTCTACTTAATTATGCTGAAATATCAACTGCTGGTTATTTTTGCAAGTTACTTTTCAATCGCCTGTCAAGGTAAATAGAAAATTCATTTTGTTGTATCTATTCAAATCTAATTCAATTCTATTGACCTTACAGATGCTCCAAAGATCAGTCCTTTTACATTTCCACCCAATCCTGTTATCGGCCGTACCACACTCGTTTATTGCTTAACCGAAATCGGTACACCACCAATCAAGTATCAATGGTTTCGTAATAATCAACTGATTAATTCAAATGATGGAATAACTTTAACTGTTGAACCAGTTTCTAATGCACTTGGACTTGTCATACAATCAGTGTCACCAAAACATTCAGCCAATTATACCTGTGTTGCTAGTAACCCTTTTGGTGAAGATTCATTTACTGCACAATTGAATATCAAAGGTGATTTTTGCCACTGCCATCTTAACGATAATTGATTAACTTTTAAATTAATTGAACTGTAAACAGGACCACCAATCTGGGTTAATACCTCATCTGATTACAAAGCTCGTTCTGGTTCTGACATTGAATTACAATGTTCAGCTGAAGGTTTTCCAACTCCTCTAATCAAATGGACCAAAAAGGATGGACAAAGTAATTGAATGAAAGTTGTAATTAGTAATCATTTCAATCTATTACCTTTTTTTTAATCCAGTTAGATCAAAGGAATCACCACCAATCGGATCAAAATTATCCTTAAAAAACGTAAACAAACGAGATGAAGGTTCATATGAATGTATTGCCACCAATCAGTTAGGATCAATTGTCAAGTCAATCATGGTTCTTGTTTCTGGTGAGTATCAACTTAATCAATCTGAAAATGACAATAGATTGATTTAGATTGTAAAAAATTAGATTAATAAGTCAAACTTGGTGTTTGTTTCGAGTTTTAAAAAAGGCGGTTCGAAATGTATTTTTAAATTTCATCACAAAGTCCATTTAACGAGTGTTGATTTGTATCGAGTTTGTTGACACTTCGACCCGATCGATTACAATAATTATCTCATTCAGTTGATAAAATGTTAACCATCATTTTACTACAATTCATCTTCATTTACAGTGTAAATGCATCAGGTGTGTATGAATGTATTTGGAATGAGACAAATTCTAATCTTTTTTTTTATCACTTTTGCCCTTACAGGTCAACCTAAAATTCAGCCTTTCACCTTTCCAGCTGAGATTCCAATTAATCAACCTCTTTTAGCAACTTATTGTTACGCTTTGGAAGGAGAAAAACCAATTCACTTTGAATGGTTAAAAGATGGACAATCAATCAATCAGAATCGTGATAATGTTATTCGTAATCATGATATGGGCTCATTATTGGAACTGAGAAATCTGAAAAGAGATCACATCGGAAATTATACTTGTCTTGCTCGTAATCACATTGGAACTGATTCATTCACTTCGACTCTTTTGATGAAAGGTTGATCATCATAATCAGTTTAATTAAATTGTTCTAATTGTTGTTTTTCCTTTTGTGTCAACAGTTCCAGTTGATTGGGTTCATGAGCCTCAAGATGCTGATCTTGTCTCTGGACAGAAAGTAAACATTTCATGTTCAGCTTTTGGTTATCCGATTCCTAAAATCAGCTGGAGATTTAAAAATAATCTTGATGAACTTTTAATTACCTCTGATTATTATTCTTCCTCTTTAACTTTTAATCCAATCTCTTTATCCAATTCAGGGAAATATGAATGCAAAGCTGAGAACGATAATGGTTCTCCTTTGATTAAATTAATCACAATTAATGTTGTTGGTAATTCTTGTTTCTTTCAGATTAATCAAAGACAAAACTAATTTTATACTTTTTTTTATATTTTACAAATTGATTTTCATGAAAAGCGCCTCTTTCAAGTTTAATTACTATTGTTCATTGTTTAATATACTTTATAATTACTTTTCTGGGTTCTAATATTAATTTTTCTTAATTGTTGACAGTTCCCGCTGAATTCAAGGAGAAAAATGTTGCAATTTCGGCGAAAAAGGGAAATCTCTTGGAATTAACTTGTTCAGCCGATGGAGATCAACCAGTGACAATCAAATGGTTCAAAGATTCAACTCCAATTGATAAAGTCGATCCCTCGAGATATTCAATCACCGATGCTCCAAATAAAGAAGGAACTAAAAGTATCATGACCGTTTCATCAGCTGATGTGAAAGATGATGGACTTTACCATTGTTTTGCTGAAAATTCGTTTGGAAAAGATGAGAGGAAAATTCGAGTAACCATAATTGAACCTCCACCTGCACCTACGAATTTTGCTGTTCAACAAGTTTGGTCTCGAACTGTTCGAGTTTCTTGGTCTAAACCATTGGATAGTAAAACATCAATTCTCAGCTATTTGATTAGATATTGGAAAGTTTCATCAACCGGTGTTAACGATCGTCTCAATGAAGTCAATGTTTCATCATCTCTATCAGTTCACCTGGTTAAAGATCTTGAACCAGGAAGTCATTACGAGGCTTCAATAATTGCAGTCAATGAAGTTGGATTAGGACCAGCATCGGCTAAAGTGACATTCATCACCGGTGAAGAAGAGCCCACTGGAGCTCCAGTTGATCTTCATGTCATTTCAAGAGGACCAACAACAGCTCGAATAGCCTGGCGATCACCTTTAAGAAATACTTGGAATGGTAAATTGCTTGGATTTTACGTTGGATATCGACTATTTGATAATTACAAGACTCCACATTCATTTCGAACGGTATCAATGATCCAATCAAATGCTTCTCATCATGAATATTTCTTGTCATCTCTGCTCAAAGGATCCAAATATTCAATCATTGTGAAAGCCTACAATTCTGCTGGAACTGGACCGGAAACTCAAGAGGTCACCGTTGAAACTTTAGCTGGTGATGTACCACCATCACCTCGACTATTTGTTTCATCAGCGACAATTGACTCTATCACTTTAGGATATTCAATTCCTTTGGCTGGATCTAAAATACAGAATCTTGATCTACATTTCAAGGAAGGCGATGATGTCACTTGGCGGGAAATGGACTTCTTTGTCGAGAATAAAGAATCTGGTCAATATACTTTGACATCTCTTAATCCGGACACTGTTTACACAATTTATCTAACTGCTACAAACGAAAATGGCATTTCTGATCCAAGTCACATTATCAAAACACGAACCTTACGAATACACCGAGAAACATATGCTGTTGGTTCAATTTTCGATCCATCTAGTGGTGGTCAGTTCGGTGATTATCGTGATTTTGTCTCAATCTTATCAATCATCATCGCCGTGGTCATTATTGTCATTGTCATTGTTTTCGCTTTTGTTTATGTGAGAAAAGTTCAACTCGACGCTGCAACCAAGCCCAATTTTGAGTTCGCTTTGGCTACAGGAACTCTCCAACTAAACAAATCGATTCCTAACTTTGGGACTGAGAGACGATTCATCGACGGTGACAATAATAAGCCTTTGATGCATGGAACAATCAACCTTGACCATACTAATCAATTACCTGTTGCTTACTCGAATTCACCACCAGAAAATGTATTTGATTTTTAAATTGTTTCACTCTCTATAATTACTAATGAATCTTTTTTATTTTCTATTTCCACAGCGACATTCAAAGATGATTGATCCAACTCACGTATATGATTGGCCTCGATAAATCAATTGACTTAATCGCCAATTGAACTGCCAACTATTCACAGTAACAGTAAACTTCCAATTAGCTGTTACTTTATTTACCCTTTTATCATTTACAATTTTAATTGTATTGAATTTCTTACAATTATTTAAGATCTCATTGACTTTCCATCTTTTCATATTTAAATTGTAGTTTTAATCTTTGCACTTTTATGCTTTTAGCTTGTTAATTAGTTTTTACAAACATTTGAATTGTCAAGATAGTTGATGTATTAACTGTATCTGCGCCAATTGATAATTTAGTCTAGATTAATTTAGTCAACATTTAATTATCCAATCGATTTGACATTTAAATGTATTAATTATCCATAACTCATTCAATATCTTGAACTTCATATGTTCTTGTCACTTGTTTGTTTAATTTGCTCAATTTCTCATTTACATTAAATCCTTTCATCTCCCAATTAATCAAATACATGTAGTAACTTGTTTAATTTAATACAAGAATATGATCAAGTTACTTTATCGAATCAGATTACAGATTTTTCATCGACATCATCGACTTGTTTGGACCATGTGAATGATTTAATTGCTTGTTCTGTGGATGATATTCTTTGGGTTATTGATGTTGACAATTTACCATAAATGAATAAAGGAAAAGCGAATCCAATTAAAAGTCCAATCGTCATAAACAATATGATTAAGCCGAAAGCAGTTTTTCCATTCATTCCTCCAGTGGTTTTGATTGGATCTTCGTTTTTAGCTTTTTTCGATTTTTGTTTCAGCTCATAATTCTGGCAAACATTTGAATCACTGATTTTAATCGATTTATCTTTGATTGAATATTTAGTTAGACTACATGAGGAAGTTGCATTATTTTGAGGACAATAGTTGAACGATTTACAAGATTCGTCAGCATTTGTCCAACTATAACAAAGAGCAGCACATTGATCCAAATTTAGATTAATCTCGGTGTGGAAAACGTCAGAGATTATTCTCTTTCCATTGAAAGCGAATTTATGTGAAACTTTTGCTAGAAGAATATATTATTAGAAGAGATGTTAACAATTTAGAATAAACTTTTCACATAGATGGTCATAAACTGTACTTACGAATATAAATATTGCAATCATCGCTTTTTGTTGACATTGAATCAGTGTAATAACCACCAAAAGTACATGAGTATCCACATTCCTGGAATGAGAGACACTCATTTGAAGAACTACATGCAGTCGCACAATCTTCAGCCTGAACATCAATAGCGATAGAACTTGGATTTGTAAACTTTCTCGAAGGTATTTTGATGTAATCCAATAGATTATTTTTAGAATAGATTTTACACGAGGGATCAGCTACTAAATCAGTAGATACTCCAAGATTTGTGGAAAAAATAATATTGGATGTGAGACAAGACACTGAATCTGGATATTGACAAAATACGAAAGTTTCACACAAATTATCTTCACCATGAGCACAGGTACGATAACAATCACCCAAATTGGAAACTCCTTTAGCCTGAATGACATCAACGATATTCTGAGAGAACTTAGCGCCCACAAGAGCTTGTTTGAAAGGCTCTTTAGTCTGATAGTTTTGATCAGTTACATCGGTCACTTGATATGATCTGAAATCACAAGACCCCAACTCTCTGTCATAATATGATACCCTTAAAGGCGTCGACTTTAGAAATTCTTCCACTTCATTCAGAGGAGTTTGTCGAGCCAAAGTGCGAATCCCCACTAAAGGGTAATATACTTTACAATTGATTCCCTTATCTTCATCCTTCTTGATATCTTCTTTTTTCATGAATCGTCCACAAATTCGAGATCCAGAGTCTTCACAATAAAGAATGACCCTTTTGATGGTAACAATTGATTCAGTTAATGAAGTGAAAATCATTTAATCATTTATCATTTACTTACTCAGGATCTTCATAATTGAGAATTGCTTGTGCACGAAGACAATAAGATTCTGATTCAACTTCAATTTTCTTCTGTGCGTTTGATATCGTATTCTGAGAAAGTTTAATGTTTTCTGAACGAACACCAACTTTTAAATAAAATTGAATTGAACATTTTATCAGTCGAAAGTGAAATTTAATAAAAAAAGAGAAAAACTAACCTTTAATATCCGGAACGTCTAAGAAGGTTATAAATATAACCATCTTCTTATCTTGGAATATGAGATCAATTTCAGCTAGTCGAGAAACGGAAATTGTTCTTGATCTAAAAAAATTTCGAGTACTACTAAGAAAAAACGGATATTTGCTTGTTCCTAATTTGAGGCATTTATCAACGTCTTTACATTTATCACATTCTAAATGAAATGCAAAAGTTTTCTTTGATTCGATTGGAAAGCAATCACTCAAACGCATCAACAGATTACTCAAAGTCACCATCAGAGCTTTTGCTTCCAGATTAAAGTAATCAATTCTCGTAGAATCTACTAATTCATATTGACCCTGAAACATAAACAATATTACTAACAAGTAAGCTAAAGAATCATATGCTTGTTAATACTCACGGTTGATGACTTCTTATAACCATTCAGAGTAGTTCGTACGAGTTCAAAGTCTCTAAAAAGTTCGGCATCAGGCTGTGAAAATACAGTAGAATAAATTGAAGCTTTGGATTGTTAATAGGTGAAAACTTACCGAAGAAACAAAATATTGAGTGTTGACAACTTTATAACTTTTTCCTCCAATTTGATAATGATTGAGGGTAGTTTCCCAAACATGAGCTTCATAACCTGATTCAGAATTCTGTTGTTGCAAAGCAAATATATTCAACGAGATTAGATCATTTAATTTTTCTTGACCGTTATCATCAATACTTACAAGGAAAACTTTACCAACATAATTGTATTTATCGACATCATGATAATTCAAGACTAAATCGGACGATAGTCTGTTATTTTCATCTAAACCTAGGCTTCCAGGCCCAATAGGTAATATTGAGCATTTACCCTTTTCTTCTCAGTATAATAGATCCCCAATGTATAATCATAAAGTGCCTCAGTAATATTTTGACTAATTGTCTTGCTACTATGTTCAAATTATTAGTCATTGAGTACCTAAAGGATTGATTGGTAAATTAGCAAATTATAACAACTCCCAAATACAAATATTTACTCTTTTCTTACCTCATTCTGTGTGATTGACTTTTCGATACCTTCATTATAAACCTTTGAAATATAATGTAATGAGTATCACCATGTTAGGTGGATTTATCCACTGATTTGAGCCTTTCTTAACCAAATAACTAGAGCAACCATATCCTGGTGTAACCTGAAAAGAGAGGTGAAAGATTCAACGTTTTGAATGAAGAAAATTTTTGAAAATCTTACAGTAACAATTTTATCGAGCTGTTCATCAGTTTTCGTAACTTTATAAATATCGATATAAAATTTTCACGTTGAGCTCTCTGATAGGAATTGTCAGATCCTTGAAATTGTAATCGCTCTGTGTTTAATGGTCCAAACGATTGTTCCGTGACCTGATACAATAACAATTAGATTTTAATAACAAAGAAAATATAGATATACATGATGATCTTACCTTTATAATATGACATTATATTTATACCACCAATCGATGAGCTTACAGAGTGAGCTAAAAACTCTAATTTCAGCGTCGGTTTCTTTTGTCTATTTAAATTAGCCAACAATAAATTTACAAAATCCGTTGTTTAACTGATCACAATGAGAGCGATTATATTTACCCAAACCAATTTTGAATTGGACAATCTGAACAATATCGAAGGTCCGGTTAATAGTAAATGATTAAGTATTGGTTGTGTCCAGTTAGATGAAAATAATTCACTACTCCAAGTTTTTCTAAAACTGCTGAAAGTATATTGACTACAATGTTTATCTATTGATGAAAATCAAAAGTAAATAAATGTAATCAAATTAACCTTGAGATTAAAAAATCTTACCTCGAATTACTATTCTGTCGTACTTGAAACCACTGGAATAAAAAATATCGAGTTTTTCGTTTCCAGATAAATGACTAATTTCAATCTTACCACGAACAACATCACTCGAGTAAATATACTCACGAATGTCATAAAACTCGTTGTAAGACTAATTAGATGAATTGTATATTAGTTTTCGGTAACTATTGGAACAAAAAGGATCGTATCACTTACTTTATACAATTTTGCTTCGATTATCCAATTACCCTTATCGACCGACCAGGGTAAATCATTAAGATGCTCTGAAATATAATTGAGTTGATATTTATTTAGTTGCGTTAATCAGATAATTTAACTTGAATATTCACCTGCAAAAACAATGAGAACCGATGTTTGAACAATTAAGACGAATCTCAATGCTATCGATACTGAGTAAATCATCTTTATGAAAGATAGTTGTTGAAGAAATTGTGAAATTCACGGAATTAATTTGCTTCGTTTAATTAGTTAATTGAAACTTTTAACTCTCACTCAGTTATTATGATGAATGGGTTAGGATATTTATACATTTCTATTGTCTGCTTATCGTCATGAAAAGTTTTCCCCCAAGAAACTGATCAGTTTGACACAGAAAACAATAGATCTTACAGTTAGTTGATTGCTGCTAAAATTAATTCGATAACGTTAAGTGCTTTTTTAGTGTTAGGGTGTGAAAAAGATAATTGTTTATCACAGAAATGAAGAGTCGTTATGGTTTATTTAATTGTTTTTATTTCTCAATTAACCATTGAATTTTGCTTTTTTTGCCTGTCTAATTTTCGTACGATTGATCTTCAGAAATCATAATAACCTGGAAAGATGAACTGATTTACCGTTTGAAATAATTCATTAACACACACAATCGATCCAAATAGATGTCTAGAGTTAATCTCTACTGATCATCGTTGTTAATAATAATCATATCACACAATAGAAATTAAATACGGTGGAAATTGAATTTATCTTTTCGATTTTAATTTTAAAGAGTGATAATAATATTTTATTTTATCGAATCAGATTACAGATTTTTCATCGACATCATCGACTTGTTTGGACCATGTGAATGATTTAGTTGCTTGTTCACTTGATGATATTCTTTGGGTTATTGATGTTGACAATTTACCATAAATGAATAAAGGAAAAGCAAATCCAATTAAAAGTCCAATCGTCATGAACAATATGATTAAGCCGAAAGCAGTTTTTCCATTCATTCCTCCATTGATCATAATTTGATCTTCATTTTTAGATTTTTTCGATTTTTGTTTCAGCTCATAATTCTGGCAAACATTTGAATCACTGATTTTAATCGATTTATCTTTGATTGAATATTTAGTCAAGCTACATGAGGAAGTTGCATTATTTTGAGGACAATAGTTGAACGATTTACAAGATTCGTCAGCATTTGTCCAACTATGACAAAGAGCAGCACATTGATCCAAATTTAGATTAATCTTGGTGTGGAAAACGTCAGAGATTATTCTCTTTCCATTGAAAGCGAATTTATGTGAAACTTTTGCTAAAAGAATATTGATATTAAATTAGATATAAAATTTATTGAACTTAAACTTTGAGCATAGATGGTCATACTTACGAATATAAATATTGCAATCGTCGCTTTTTGTTGACATTGAATCAGTATAATAACCACCGAAAGTACATGAGTATCCACATTCCTGGAATGAGAGACACTCATTTGAAGAACTACATGCAGTCGCACAATCTCCAGCTTGAACGTCAATAGCGATAGAACTTGGATTTGTAAACTTTCTCGAAGGTATTTTGATGTAATCCAATAGATTATTTTTAGAATAGATTTTACACGAGGGATCAGCTACTAAATCAGTAGATACTCCAAGATTTGTGGAAAAAATAATATTGGATGTGAGACAAGACACTGAGTCTGGATATTGACAAAATACGAAAGTTTCACACAAATTATCTTCATCATGAGCACAGGTACGATAACAATCACCCAAATTGGAAACTTCTTTAGCCTGAATGACATCAACGATATTCTGAGAGAACTTAGCGCCCACGAGAGCTTGTTTGAAAGGTTCTTTAGTCTGGTAGTTTTGATCAGTTACATCGGTCACTTGATATGATCTAAAATCACAAGATCCCACCTCTCTGTCATAAGATGATACCCTTAATTTTCTTGAATTCAGAAATTCTTCCACTTGATTTAGAGGAGTTTCACGTGCAAAATTTCGAATCCCCACTAAAGGGTAATATACTTTACAATTGATCCCCTTATCTTCATCCTTCTTGATATCTTCTTTTTTCATGAATCGTCCACAAATTCGAGATCCAGAGTCTTCACAATAAAGAATGACCCTTTTGGTGGTAACAATTGATTCAGTTAATGAAGTGAAAATCGTTTGATTATTTAAAGTACTTACTCCGGGTCATCATAATTAAGAATTGCTTGTGTTTGAAGACACTCAGATTCTGATTCAACTTCAATCTTCTTCTGTGTGTTTGATATCGTATTCTGAGAAAGTTTAATGTTTTCTGAACGAACAGCCACTTTAAAAAAGAAGTGAGATTTTATCAGTTAGAGTGAAATTAAAAAAAATAGAGTAAAATTAACTAACCTTTCATATCCGGAACGTCTAAGAAGGTTATTAATATAACCATCTTCTTGTCTTGGAATATAAAATCAATATCAGCAAGTCGAGAAACGGAAATTGTGCTCGACCTAAAAAAATTTCGAGTAGTACCAAGGAAAACTGGATATTCACTCGCTGCTAATTTGACACACTTATCAGCATCTTTACATTTATCACATTCTAAATGAAATGCAAAAGTTTTCTTCGATTCGTTTGGAAAGCAATCACTCAAACGCATCAACAGATTACTCTCAAAATCACCATCAGAACTTTTTGCTTCCAGATTAAAGTAATCAATTCTCGTAGAATCTACTAATTCATATTGACCCTGAAACACAAAAAGTATTACTAAGCTTAAGAATAATAGACTTGTTAATACTTACATTTGATGATTTTGCTAGACCATTTAGGGTGGTTCGTACGAGAACAAAGCCTCTGAAAAGTTCGGAATCAGGCTGTGAAAGTAGATCAGTTATTAATTGAAACCTCTATTGGAAAAACTTACCGAAGAAACAAAATATTGAGTGTTGACAACTTTATCATAACTTTTTCCTCCAATTTGATAATGATTGAGGACAGTTTCCCAAACATGAGCTTCATAACTTGATTCAGAATTCTGTTGCAAAGCAAATATATTCAACGAGATTAGATCATTTAACTTTTCTTGGCTCATATCATCAATACTTACAAGGAAAACTTTACCAACATAATTGTATTTATCGACATCATGATAATTCAAGACTAAATCGGACGATAGTCTGTTATCTTCATCTAAACCTAGGCTTCCAGGCCCAATAGGTAATATTGAGCATTTACCCTTTTCTTTCTCTGTATAATAGATCCCCAATGTGTAATCATAAAGTGCCTCAGTTGTAATACTTTGACTGATTGTTTTCAAACCGACTATGTTCAAATTGTTACTTACGAAAACCTGAAGTATTCATTGACTAATTAGCAAATTATAACAACTCAAAAAATACAATACTATTTTCTTACCTCATTCTGTGTGATTGACTTTTCGATACCTTCATTATAAACTTTTGAAATATAACGAAATGAATATCGTACCATGTTAGGTGGATCTATCCACTGATTTGAGCCTTTCTTAACCAAATAACTAGAGCAACCATATCCTGGTGAAACCTGAAAAGAGATGTGAAAGTTTTAACGTTTTGAATGACGAATTTTTTGAAAATCTTACAGTAACAATTTTATCGAGCTGTTCATCGGTTTTCGTAACTTTATAAATATCGATATAAAAATTTTCTCGTTGAGTTCTCTGATAGGAATTGTCAGATCCTTGAAATTGTAATCGCTCTGTATTTAATGGTCCAAACGATTGTTCCGTGTGACCTGATACAATAACAATTAGATTTTAATAACAAAGAAAAATACATAGACATACATGATGATCTTACCTTTATAATATGACATTATATTTATACCACCAATCGATGAGCTTACAGAGTGAGCTAAAATCCTCTAATTTCAGCGTGTTTCTTTGTCTATTTAAATTAGCCAACAATAAATTTACAAAATCCGTTGATTTAACTGATCTCAATGAGAGCGATGATATTTACCCAAACCAATTTTGAATTGGACAATCTGAACAATGTCGAAGGTCCGGTCAATAGTAAATGATTAAGTATTGGTTGTGTCCAGTTAGATGAAAATAATTCACTACTCCAAGTTTTTCTAAAACTGCTGAAAGTATATTGACTACACTGTTTATCTATTGATGAAAATGACCAGTGAGAATGAAGAAGATCAGTGAATAATCGAATTAACCTTGAAACTGAATATTCTTACCATGAATTACAATTCTGTCGTACTTGAAACCACTGGAATAAAAAATATCGAGTTTGTCGTTTCCAGATAAATGACTAATTTCAATCTTACCACGAACAACATCACTCGAGTAAATATACTCACGAATGTCATAAAACTCGTTGTAAGACTAATTAGATGAATTGTTTATTAGTTTTCGGTAACTATTGGCACAAAAAGGATCGTATCACTTACTTTATACAATTTTGCTTCGATTATCCAATTACCCTTATCGACCGACCAGGGTAAATCATTAAGATGCTCTGAAATATAATTGAGTTGATATTCATTTAGTTGCGTTACTCAGATAATTTAACTTGAATATTCACCTGCAAAAACAATGAGAACCGATGTTTGAACAATTAAGACGAATCTCAATGCTATTGATATTGAATAAATCATCTTGGTAAAACTATTAAACGTTAAAGAAATTGAATAAACTTCACGAAACTAATTTAATTTATTCGATTTGTTAGTTGAAACTTGCAGTCCTGATGATAAAAAATGGTTATTTATTCATTTCTATTGTCGGTTCATTATCACGAGAAGTTTTTTCCCAAGAAATCGATAAGTTTAACAGAAAACAATAGATCTGAGATCTGAACGAATGATTTGATAAAGTTAAGTGCTTTTTAGTGTTAGGTGTGAAAAGATAATTTTTATCACAGAAATAAAGAGTTGTTATTGTTTATTAATAGTTTTCATTTCTATTTTCTCATTAATTTTGGTTTTTTTGCCTGTTGAATTTTTTAACAATTGATCTCCAGCATTTATAATAACTTTGAAACTTAATCGATTGTCTCATTGTTTCAGATAGAAGACCAATTATTTAGCATTTCATTGTATCGAAGGGCTGATTTCGAGTATTTAAATAAGTGAAAGGAGAACCAACATTTAACTTGGAATTGGCGCTTTTCGTTTCGAAATAATTTCATTTGATTACAAATAAGTGATGTGAAAACATATGATTACTTTGAAGTTTTCTTAACTTGTAGAAAATTAATTGATTGCACGAAATTAAACAAAATGATTGTTTTGGTTTAATTGTTTGTTTTTTGGAAACCAAGTGAGTGGACAAGAAAGTAAGTACAAATTTGATTTACAAATAAATGCCAATCATTAAATTCATCTCACAATTTAGCGCCAAAAGTGAATCCTTTGCTCCATTGATAAAACCAGTGATTGGAGGGAAAACATCATTCACTTGTCAATCTCTTATGGGATCATTGCCTTTGCACTTTAATTGGTTTCGGGATGGAAAAGAAATAAAAGATTTACCTACAATTAAGATCAGGAATAGTGAAGAATTGTCAACTCTATTAATTGATTCAATAAATTCAGCTCACTCTGGAAACTACACTTGTAAGATATCAAATAGATATGGACAAGATTCTTACAGTACCGAACTGTTGATCGAAGGTAAGATTTTCTTTCAAGCATAAATCTTTTTTCGTTTATATTTTTCTACTAATTTTGTTATTTTCCGATATTTTAGGTCCTCCTAATTGGATTGATAAACCTTCGAATGTCAAAACTAAATTGTTTCAACCAATTATCCTGAGATGTGCTGCATCAGGTTATCCCAAACCCAAAACTGAATGGAAAAAACTTGAAAGTTTGTTTGTGAATCCATTCCAATGGGAATAACATTTAACTCGACTTTTATTTTTCTTTTGATTTCTATTATTTAACTCAAGGCTCTGAATGGATCAATGTTTCACCAAACAATCAAATTACTGTTAAGGATGAATCACTAGAAATAATTAAATCAACTCGTGGCAATACAGGAAGATTTGGATGTTTGATTACGAACAAAATTAAACCTGATTTATGGGCTGAATTTGATATCTCAGTCGAGGGTAAATTAATGTTATCAATCTCGAATTATTATTCTAATGCTTGAAAATTGGCGCTTTTATGTGATATTTTCGTGAAATGTTCAAAATGGACAAAAAGATATTCTTGTTTACCTTTGACATCGAGACAGTTTGATAATCATTTGTTTTTAGGTTGGATTGAGTCTTGTTTACGATTGACCTTATTGGAAGATGATTTTATCAATTGTGACATTGTGTTTACTTTACATTGGAGCTGATGGACAAGAAAGTAAGTAATTGAAGTAAATAATTAAATGATTAATTCATTAATTAATTTTGTGTCTTTTTATTCAGGTCCAAAAGTGGTTCCGTTTACATCATTGGTAAAAACAGTGATAGGAAGTAAAACTTCATTTACGTGTCAAAGTCTAACAGGCTCATCGCCATTGGAGATAATTTGGTTTAAAGATGGAAAGAAACTTTTCGATTCACCAACAATTAAAATTCGAACTAATGAAGATGGATCCATGTTAATCATAACTTCAATTTCTTCAATGCACTCAGGAAATTACACTTGTTCCATCTCCAATCCTTATGGACAAGATTCTTTTACCACTGAGCTTCTTGTCGAAGGTACAAAATTAACTTTTATGAACAAACTGACAATGACAGTTATCTTCGTATTGATAATTCATTAGGTGCACCAAATTGGATCGAAAAACCTCAAGATACAAAAATACAATTACATGAAACCCTAAAATTACAATGTTCCAGTTCTGGTTATCCTAAACCTAAAGTGATTTGGAAAAAATTCAAAGGTAAACTACTAAACTTTTTACTGGATTTCGATATTAATATTTGAATTTCAATCATTTCAGATTCTTCTTGGACCAATTTCTCCTCTGATTACCTTTCTGGTAGTAATTTAAAACAATTCGACGATGAATTGATCATAACCAATGTTTCTCGTGACCTTAATGGTAGATATGGATGCTCGGTATCAAATGGAATTGAACCTGATCTTTGGTCAGAGTTTAATGTTGTTATCGAAGGTATTAATATATCTCAGAGATAAATCTCATTCTATTCTGATATTACTTGAAAACGGCGCTTTTATGGTTAAGGCAGACAATTTGTCTATTAGGACAATGATATTTTCGAGAAGAGTATTTTGTTCATTTTCAGGAAGTATTAGATCATCTAGTCTATTGGGAAGTTTTATTTCAATAATCATGTTAATCTTCATAACATTCATTTGTTTGAATTCTAATTTTCTCTTGATAAGTGGACAAGAAAGTAAGTATCACTTGAAAATATCTCGAATATAAAATTGAACAATTTAGTGATATTTCTTAAAACTTTACAGAACCAAAAGTGAATCCTTTCGGTCCATTTATCAAACCAGTGATCGGAGGAAAAACATCATTTACTTGTCAAAGTCTTTCAGGATCACCCCCTCTTCATGTATCTTGGTTCAAGGATGGAAATGAATTGACTGATTCAGTATCAGTCAGAATACAATCAAACGCTGATCCATCCATGTTAATTATTGACTCAATTCAATCGAGTCATTCAGGAAATTATTCTTGTAAAATATCAAACAGATTTGGTTATGATACTTTTACAACTGAGCTTCTTGTTGAAGGTTAGTTCATGTTAACATGATACTTGATCCAATGGTCACATCTCTGATTAATTATTGTTTCTATTTAATTAGGACCACCAAACTGGATTGAGAAACCAAAGGATATAAAATCTCATCATGGCGAAACAATTATCGTAAATTGTAAAGTATCGGGTCACCCAAAACCCAGAATTCAATGGAAGAAGCTAACAGGTATTGGAATTGACATTCAGTTGGAAGTGTCTTATTAATATATTGAATTTCATTTTCTTTTAAAGGGCCATCCTGGAAAACTCTTGATGATAATTTCATGATTAATATGAAACAATCAAAGGATAAACTAATAATTGGAAATTCTTCTCGATCTGTCAATGGTAAATACGGATGTGCTGCATCAAATGGTGTCAACCCCGACCTTTGGTCTGAATTCGATGTTACAATCGAAGGTAATGTTTCTCATTCTCATTTCTCAATCTCTCTTGAAATCGGCGCTTTTAGACTCTCAGGTTAAAATATTCCAATAGATTGTCTAGTTTTCCAATGTTTATCTACTAAAATCAACTAATCAAATGTTGGAGATTAAGGTAATCACAATGTACCTCTGGATAACCTTTGCTTGGTTATCTTTTATTGCAACTTTAAGCTTTGGACAAGAAGGTGAGTATATGAGTGTAATGTTGGATAATTAAAACTAATTGTTGTGAATTTTATTCTAGTACCAAAAATAAATCCCTTTCTTCCAAGTATCAAACCAGTGATCGGAGGTAAAACCTCATTCTATTGCCAGAGTCTATCAGGATCATCTCCTCTTCATGTAACATGGTTCAAAGATGATAAAGAGATTCATGATTCTTCATTTATCCGAATTAAATCAAATGAAGATCCTTCAGTGTTAATTATCGAGACAATCCAATCAAGTCATTCAGGAAATTATACTTGTAGGATGTCCAATAAACTTGGCTATGACTCTTATACAACTGAGCTCTTAGTCCAAGGTTAGTTGATGGTAAATTATTGTAGTCACATCACAATTAATTATCTTTTTTTAACTTCCAATTAGGATCACCTAACTGGATTGAAAAACCTAAGGATATTACTGCTCATTCTGGTGATACACTAACAGTTAATTGTTCAGCTTCTGGTTATCCAAAACCTAAAATTGAATGGAAAAGACTCCAAGGTAATTATATCAATAGTCACATCTCTCATTAAAACTTTGTACTTTTGTCCAATCTTCAGGTTCATCATGGTAAATTTACCTTCTAATAATTTGTACTGAATCAAATCCAATTAAGTGATAAGTTGATCATAAAAAATACGACTCGTGAATCCAATGGGAAATATGGATGTTTAATGAGCAACGGAATCGAACCAAATCTATGGACAGAATTTGATGTTACAATTAAGGGTAAAATTTACTGAATGTTAACATAATATTGCTTGAACTCGGCGCTTTTCAACTCAATTTAGAGCAAAAAACCTTTCTTATTATCGAGATTGTCTCTTGAAAATTTCCCATATAATCATTTTAAGACCAACCTTTACAATGGACACAATGATTGTCCAGTTATCTTTAGTTATAATTATCTTTCTCAGTCATTCAAGTTATGGACAAGAAGGTGAGTATTTTTAATTAGATTCGGTGATCAATTATTTTCACTCTGCTAATGATTATCTTTTCATTCTCATTTAGCTCCTAAAGTGAACCCATTTTCTGCGGCAATCAAACCAGTGATCGGAGGAAAAACATCATTTACTTGTCAAAGTCTTTCAGGATCACCACCTCTTCATGTATCTTGGTTCAAGGATGGAAATGAGTTAACTGACTCATCTACAATTAGAATACGAACTAATGAAGATTCATCAATGTTAATTATTGACTCAATTCAATCGAGTCATTCAGGAAATTATTCTTGTAAAATATCAAACAGATTTGGTTATGATACTTTTACAACTGAGCTTCTTGTTGAAGGTTAGTTCATGTTAACTTGATACTTGATCCAATGGTCACATCTCTGATTAATTATTGTTTCTATTTAATTAGGACCACCAAATTGGATTGAGCAACCAAAGGATATAAAATCTCATCACGGTGAAACAATTATCGTAAATTGTAAAGTATCGGGTCACCCAAAACCCAGAATTCAATGGCGGAGACTCTCAGGTAACTGAAATTTGGAAAAATCCTTTTCTATTTCATTTTCTATATTTACTTTTGTCCTGTTTTTTAAAAGGTTCATCATGGATAAATTTTGTATCGGAAGGCACAAGAATTAAGAATATTGAATTGGAAAATGATAAACTGATAATAACCAACGTTTCTCGGTCTGATAATGGAAGATTTGGTTGTTCTGCCATAAATGGAATCGAACCTAATCTTTGGTCTGAGTTCGAAATTTCAATTGAAGGTAAAGTTTCCGAAGATTTTTCTTTACTTATATTGCTTGAACTCGGCGCTTTTTCATCTATTTAGACATAAAAACAACTTTTACAAGACAAAATCTAATGTTCTATTATAATAACATTATCCAAAATTTTCTGTATTTCCATCTCGAATATCAATTATGAAGATGAATCATTTACTCTCTGCTAGTTTGACATTTTTTGTTCTCGTTATAAAACTTAGCTATCAGCAAGAAAGTAAGTATGAATGAAAAATTCTGATTCAAGAAATTTACTAATTGCTCTTTATTACCAATTTTTAAGCTCCAAAGGTTGCTCCATTTTCATCATTGGTAAAACCCGTGATTGGAGGTAAGACTTCATTCACTTGTCAAAGTATCTCAGGATCACCTCCTCTTCATGTAACTTGGTACAAAGATGGAAATGAAATTCTCGATTCATTATCAATTAGAATTCAATCAAATGGAGATCCATCTATTTTGATTATCGATTCAATTCAATCAAGTCATTCCGGCAATTACACTTGTAAAATGTCAAATAGGTTTGGCCAAGACTCTTACACATCTGAGATTCTTGTACAAGGTAACCCATTAGACTGAAATTTCATTGCTTTTGCTGATAAACTTAACTTTCAATCAACAGGATCACCTAATTGGATTTCAAAGCCTGTCGATGTTAAATCAACTTTGGGAGATTCATTAACTATCCAATGCTCAGCATCAGGTTATCCTAAACCGATTATCCAATGGAAAAAATTTCAAGGTTCTTATATCAAAATCTCAATTGTCAATATCCTTTCATGTCTCTTTTATCCTCGAATCAATTTTTAAGGTTCATGGATTAATTTATCTTCCAATGGAACTACAAATGAAAATGTCCAACAATCAAGTGAAAAATTGATTCTATCAAATGCTTCTCGTGATACTGGTGGTAGATATGGATGTTCAGTAGCGAACGGAATCAGACCCGATCTTTGATCAGAATTTGACATCAAAATCGAGGGTATTGTTCATCTTTCTTGTATATTGTCAGTTTGCTTGAAATCGGCGCTTTCTATTTTGTGGATCTTGTAAAATAAAACATTTCTTTCATCTGAGAAAAGAAATGTTTTGATATTTCATATGTTTATCATTGAGAATTTAGCTGATTGACCATGAAGATCGTTCAGTTGGTAATTTTGTTCATCATTAGTGATCGTATTATTGGTCAAGAAAGTGAGTAATCTATGAAATTGTCATGATTTTAAATTGTTTGACTGAGTTTTTGTTTCTTTTTAGTTCCAAAAGTGAATCCATTCAGTCCATTTATCAAACCAGTGATCGGAGGAAAAACATCATTCACTTGTCAAAGTCTCTTTGGATCTGCACCTCTTTCAATTACATGGGTTAAAGATGGACAAGAGATTTCTGATTCATCGGAAATACGAATTCGAAACATTGAAGATTCATCAATGTTAATTATCGATTCAATTAAATCAAGTCATTCGGGAAACTATTCATGTCGAATCTCAAATAGATATGGTTCTGATTCATACTCTTCAGAGTTACTTGTTGAAGGTAAGGTTCAAGTGTCTTTATCTTCATATATTCATCTTATTATCAACTATTAAATTGTTTTTAATTAGGACCACCAAGTTGGATTGAGAAACCTCATGATGTGAAGATTCATATTGGGGAAACAATTGAAATTAAATGTTCAACTGCAGGTTATCCTAAACCAAGAATAAATTGGAAAAAATTGAAAGGTACAAATATGAAACTTGTTTGATTTCTTTACCTAATGACAATATTTTGATTATCGTTTTAGATTCCAATTGGATTGACATCGATTTAATTGCCGAAAGAAACATTGAAAGAATTGCTGATCAATTGATTGTGAAAACTCTTCTCATCAGAATAACGGTAGATATGGTTGTTCAGTTACCAATGGAGTCGAACCTAATCTTTGGTCTGAGTTCGAGATCAAAATCGAGGGTATTATTATTTCTAGAATACAATCAAGTTTATTTGCTTGAAAATTGGCGCTTTCTTGTCTTATTAGTTATTCAAAAACTATTCATCTTACCAATTTATTGTCAAAATCACAACATTTGCTTTAAATTGTTTACATTTGTAACAATCTATCAACAATACAGAACTTCAGATATGATAACTTTAACCATCGTTTTGATAATCGGGTTTTGTGACCAATGCTCAGGAAAGTAAGTTTTGATGTGAAATATTTGATACTAATTAATGTTTATGTTATGATTTAGGTCCAAAAGTGAATCCATTTGCTCCGTTGATCAAACCAGTGATTGGAGGAAGGACATCATTTGCTTGTCAAAGTCTATCTGGATCACCTCCGATTCAAATCAAATGGTTCAAAGATGGAAAAGAGCTTCATGATTCACCTTATATAAGGATCAGATCAAATGAAGAACCATCGACTTTAGCGATTGATCAAATTACTTCAAGTCATTCAGGAAATTACACTTGTAAGATATCAAATAGACATGGAGAGGATTCTTATACCACCGAGTTACTTGTTGAAGGTAATTTCCAACCGATTTTACATTCAATTGATTGATATTAACTGATATTTTCATCTTTCTAGGACCACCTCAATGGTTAATTAAACCAGAAAATTTAAAATTATCACTTGGAGAAAGAGCAACAATCAAATGTTCTGGTATAAGTTATCCAAGACCAAAGACAATATGGAAAATGAAACAAGGTTTGTTTTCTAAGATTCTGTGGTTGGAACATTCTGATTAATAAGTTGATTTCTTTCTTCATTAGACTCACAGTGGATCACAATTGATAAATTAAACTCATATGATGTGGAAATTGTTGACAATGAGCTAATCATCACCAAGGCAGGGAAACAACACTCGGGTTCCTATGGATGTTTGATTACCAATAACATAGAACCAAATGTTTGGAGTGAATTTAGTATTTCGATTGATGGTAAATCTTTTATTTAAAAGAAACATTTTCTCTTGAAAGTTGGCGCTTTTCTTGTTATTTTCTAGTTTATAATCAACTGTTTACCTTTTAGACTCTTTTGTGTTTTTGTGATCAAATTTCGAATCATTTGTCTGATCATTGTGACGATGTTTTCCAAAAGTTATTTGATTCTATTCACTTTTATCCAATGGATTTACGCTCAGGAAAGTAAGTACCAACCACCATCATCCATATAATTGGTCACTAATGTCTTTAAATTGTCTATTACAGATCCAAGAGTAAATCTATTCACAGCTCAGTCCAAACCTGTGATAGGAAGTAAATCTTCATTCACTTGTCAAGCATCCGCTGGATCTTTACCATTGAACATCTTATGGTACAAAGATAACAAGGAAATAAGTGACAGTTCAACAATTAGAATTCGGACAATTGAAGATTTTTCTAATCTAATCATTGAATCAGTTTCACCAAGTCACTCAGGGAACTACACATGTAAAATATCAAATCAGTTCGGCTCAGACATTAGTTCACTGGAATTGAAGGTGGAAGGTAAATTTCAAGAGTCTATCCTTATTATTTACTGATTATCGAATTTATTTAATCTCAGGTCCACCATCTTGGAATGAGAAACCAGAGAACCTTAGAATTCGACTTGGTAAATCTTCTGTTATCAAATGTTCTGCAAGTAGTTATCCAAAGTCGACAATTGAATGGAAAATTTCAAAAGGTTTGTTTGGTTAGACATTCGGATCAATGTTCTCATCTTTAAAATTACTTTTTCTTTTCAGGTTCATCTTGGACATCTCTTGATTCATCGGATTTATTTAAACGAATTGACGACAATCAGCTTAGCATAGTAAATGCGAGTCCAAAACACTCAGGAAAATATGGTTGCTTAGTATCAAATTCAATCGAACCAAATCTTTGGAGCGAATTCAATATTGCGATTGATGGTAATGTTATAATATCCAATTAAGTTTCCTTTTAAACTTGAAAAGTGGCGCTTTCCAATAATATAACACATAGATTAATCTTTATTTATGTTGATTGGTGTTTGTTGACTGAAATTGTTTAAGCAAAACAATGTTGTTGGTACTTTTGTCTTTGTCTATTATTAGCGTTTCAAATGGACAAGAAAGTAAGTGATTAGTCCTACTTGTTTACTATTGAATAACGTTGTCAATTTATCCAAATTTATTTCGTGTTTAGGTCCAAAAGTGAATCCATTTGCTCCATTGATTAAACCAGTGGTTGGAGGAAAAACATCATTCGCTTGTCAAGCTCTTTCAGGATCATTGCCTTTGTCTTTTATCTGGTTCAAAGATGGAAAAGAAATCAGAGAAATCTCATCAATCAGGATTCGAGAAAATGAAGATCTTTCCAATTTGATCATTGATTCAATTTCTTCAAATCATTCAGGAAATTATACTTGTAGAATCTCCAATAGATTTGGTTGGGATGAGTTTTCAATCGAGTTGAACATTGAAGGTACAAAGAGACAAGAAGGTTAATGTTACATTTATCATACGAAATGTTTAACTTTTTTTGTGCTATTCTATTGTGTCAAGGGCCACCCTTTTGGAAAGAAAAACCCGAAAATATAAAAATTCACATGGGTGATAGTGTTTCGGTCAAATGTTCAGCTCTTGGTTTTCCAAGACCTAAAGTTATTTGGCAAAGATACAAAGGTTATTATTATTGTTTCATTTTCTTCATTCAAACATTTCTCATTCATTTGTTTTCTTTTTTCTCTTCCATGTTTAGAATCCCTTTGGACTCCAATTGATAAACATGAATCAACGTTGGAATCAAATTCTGATGAATTAATAATCAGAAAAGGTTATTCGAACCACTCAGGTCAATATGCTTGTTACATAAGCAACGGAATTGAACCTGATTTAAGACACGAATTTTCAATCTCAATTGATGGTAAACTTTGTTATTCTTTAGATACTTGAAAAATGGCGCTTTTATCAAGATTATTTTGACAAAATCAAGTTTATTTTCTGTTTACAAAGAGTCAAAGGTCTTGGTCTCTTGTCTTGTGTTTAGATAATCTAACTTAAGGTCAGGACAATGATCACTTTTGTTATATTTAGCTGTTTACTATTATCGTGTACTGGTCAAGAAAGTGAGTTCCATCATAACAATTTGAAGTTCTCGCTCTAATTAGTATTTTTTTGATTATTTCCTCAGGTCCAAAGATTAATCCATTTTCGCCATTAATCAAACCTTTGATCGGAGGCAAGACATCATTCGCTTGTCAAGCTCTTTCAGGATCGCTGCCTTTTAATATTCTTTGGTTCAAAAATGGTGTAGAAATTAAGGAATTATCATCAACAAGAATTCGAACCAGTGAAGATGTTTCTGTTCTTATGATTGATTCAATTTCATCAATTCATTCGGGAAACTATTCTTGTAAAATATCCAATAGATTTGGATCAGATGTTTATTCAATCGAACTTAAAGTTGAAGGTAAATACTTATCTAAACTTTTCCGATTGTTTAATAATTCAGTTCAATTTATACGATAATAGGACCTCCATTTTGGAATGAAAAACCTGTTAATCGCTCGATAAAATATGGTGAAAGTGCTTCGGTTAAATGTTCCGCTTCAGGTTTTCCTAAACCTAAAATTTCATGGAAAATTTTCAAAGGTATTCAAATTGACTGTTTAATTATTCTGTAAACAAATTCTAATCACCATTATTTCAATAGGATCTTGGATAAATGTTGAAAGTTCTGATGATTCTGTCATCAGAGTCGACGGTGAAATACTTAGTATTTCAAAAGCTCATTCCAAGCATTCGGGTAGATATGGATGTTCAATCACCAACGGTGTCCAACCAAATCTTTGGACTGAATTCAACATTGATATTGACGGTATTTAGAGTTGCATGGTCATTAGATCATAATTGCTTCGAGAAATTTGGTCCGTAGTAATCCACTTTTGCTTGCTATTCACAACCAGAACTTGATGAATAATTTTCATCGAGTTTGTTTCAATCTCATTTGAAGAAACGGTCTCGTCATTTTTTTCATAGATCGCGGCAAAGTTCAATCTTTGTTTACTCTTTTACTTGACTAATGGTCTTTGACATTACCCATTGTTGTATCAAATTGTATCGGTTTCAATTTGACAATTTACTCTTCACTATGATCTGTAATTTTTTTCTCATATTTGCAATTAGTTCACAATTTATACTTTGTCAAGGTATGTATGTGATTATCTCATAGACTCGATAGCTAATTCTTTTAATTGTTCTTGATTCCGTACAGATGCTCCAAGGATCACACCATTTAATTTTCCAACTAATCCAATGATTGGGAGATCAATTCTTGTTTATTGTTTGGCTGAAACTGGAACCCAACCAATTAGATATCAATGGTTACGAAACAATCAGCCAATTGATGAGACTAATAGCTTAGAGAATGGAATCAAACAAATTGTAGAGCCAATAACCAATGCATTCGGCTTGATCATTCAATCAGTTGAAGCTAAACACTCTGGAAATTACACTTGCTCAGCTTCCAATTTGTTTGGTGATGATAAATTTACATCTCCATTGATTATCAAAGGTCGGACACCAATCAATCGTGGTCATTTTTCCTCTAACTCATGATTGATTCATTTCTTCAGGTCCACCAATTTGGATGAATACATCTAATTCAGTGATTGATGTTCAACATGATCAACCATTGAATCTGTTTTGTTTGGCGGGAGGGTTTCCAATACCAATCATTTCATGGAAGAAGATTGATCAAAGTAAACCAACTAATTCATAACATGGAAACATTTCATTAACCTTTTCAGAATTACAATTATCCTTTGTGTTATTACAGTTAATCATTTCAATTGCCATCGAAATCGTCAATTGTTTTGGAAAAAGTTAAAAAAAGTGACCAAGGGATCTACGAATGTACTGCTTCGAATGATTTAGGAACGATAACCAAGCAAATCAAAGTAACTGTTCTGGGTAAGATAATACGATGAGCTGGTTAGTCTTATTTAAAGTGATCTAATTTGTTATCGGAGGCAAGAAAATCTAGAACTTGAGTCAAAATCGATGAAATTTATGCGAGTTCGAAAATTGCGGTTCTATATGTTATACCTTTGATCTTATATCAGCCCAAATGTTATTAGTGATAATTGTTGTTTTCTTTGATTGAGAGCAATTAATTATGACAATGATTCCATCAACTTTACCCGCGATTTTGTTCATAATTTGTTTCTACAGTTCAACTGGAATAACATCATCAGGTTGGTATCCATGATTTAGATTCAATTTAGACTAATGCTTTGTTTTGTTTGTCTATTGTTGATTGTTTAAAGGTCGCCCCAGGATTCAACCTTTCACCTTTCCCAATGAAGTGAATTTAAATCAACCAATTTTAGTCATTAATTGTATCGTATCTTCCGGAGATGTGCCAATAACTTTTGAATGGTTAAAAGATGGACAATCAATTCAAGCCGAAAATAACAACAATGTTGATATTGATGTAAGAAATCATGAAATGTACTCGATATTGGAGATGAAAAATTTGAAAAGTAAACACATTGGCAATTATACTTGTGTGGCATCCAACAGATTTGGAACTGAATCGTTTACAAGCAGTTTACTGATGAAAGGTTTTCTACTTTAATTTAGCGAACCTCGAATCTGAATAGTTGATATAAATATTAATCTGATTCTTTTTTCTTGTTTTGTTTATCTTTTTTAGTTCCACCTTTTTGGATTAAAGAACCAACTGACATTAGAATCTCATCTGGTTCACAATTAACGGTTGATTGTTTAGCCAATGGTTATCCAATTCCAACAGTTACTTGGTCTTTAGTTAAAGATCCGAATGATTATCAACAAATTTCTAACCCTCTAACTAATAATTCAACTTTTCTCTCTTTCGAATCAATTTCTGTTAAAAACAAAGGAACCTACGAATGTATAATTAACAATTCAATTGGGTTCCCATTGTCAAAGAAAATTTTCATTGATGTTGTTGGTAATCATGAATATAACTAATTAATTTCTTTTTCTTTTGATGATAAATTATGTCGACCTAAAAGCGCCTCTCTCAAGCAATTAACTGAATTTCTCAATTTTCAGCCAACCTTTTGATACATTTGATTTCTAATTTCAGATTATTTTTGCTTCTTATTCTGTTTACAGTTTTCCCTGCTAAATTCAAGGAGAAAAAATCATATGTTTCAGCTAAACGAGACACTTCCCTCGAACTTGAATGTTCAGCTGAAGGAGATAAGCCTATTACTATTCGATGGTCTAAAGATTCAGTTATACTGAACAAGGTTGATTATCAACGTCACACAATTTTGGACACTCCAACAACCGAAGGGCTCAAAAGTACTTTAACCATTAGATCAGCTGATCTGGTTGATGATGGATCGTATTTGTGTTTAGCTGAAAATGAATTTGGTAAAGATGAGAGAAACATTCGAGTTACTATTATTGAAGCTCCACCTGCACCTCAGAACTTGATGATTCGCCAAGCTTGGTCTCGAAGTGTAAGCCTTAACTGGGCAGCCCCGTCGTCCAATGCTTCACCCATTTTAGGGTATATTGTCCGTTACTGGAAAATCACTGGCCCGGGAGGCAATGAAAGGCTCAGAGAAATCAATGTTACCTCATCGATGAACAATGTTCTCATCAATGGTTTAGAACCTGGTTCTTTCTATGAAGCGGAAATTATCGCTCTCAATGAGGTCGGAATCGGTCAACCCTCTCGAACCATTAAATTTGAAACAGGGGAAGAGGAACCAACCGGAGCTCCAGTTGATTTGCAAGCTATTGCTCGTGGACCAACTACTATTCGAGTCTCATGGAAACCACCGTCTCGAGATAAATGGAACGGCAAAATTTTGGGCTATTATGTTGGCTATCGACGAGCGGGTGACTTCAAGACACCGCACTCTCTGAAAACGATTGATGCTGCTTCTCACAACCACACTTATGAATATTTGCTAACCTCATTGGTCAAGGGAACTACTTATGCGATCACAGTCAAAGCTTATAATTCAGCTGGAAGTGGACCTGAGTATCAGGAAATCTTGGCTGAAACCCTTTTGGGCAATGTTCCGCCCTCACCTCGATTTAAAGTCCTATCGACAACACCAGACAGTCTTAGTTTGAAATACAATGTTGCTCCTGGAACGGCTTCTGTTCAATTGATTCAATTACATTTCAAAGAATTTGATGAACCCGACTGGAAGGAATTAGCATTAACCTATGATGGTAAAGAGGTCAATGAATACACTTTGACCTCACTTAATCCATCGACAATTTATAAGCTCTACATTACTGCTTCAAATGAACATGGCATCAGTGATCCGAGTCAAATAATAACCTCTAAAACTGGTCGATCTCTTAATGATTTAACATTCTCAGGTTCATCTTATGATTCGACCTCACTTTTAGGAGGTGCTGGTCCAGTTCATGGGTCAATGTCATCATCTTTTGGTGCTATGGTTTATTTTCCCGCTATCACCATCAGTGTTGCCTCGATCATTATTGTTATTGTTATTGCTTTTGTCTTTGTGAAAAAGGCTCGACTTGAAGCCGTGGCCAAGACAAACTTTGAATTTTGTCAAGCATCTCAAGCAGGAACTTTGGCTTACAATCGATCCACTGGAACCACTTTTGGAACAGTTCAGCGATTCGTCGATCATGATAAGACAATGTCTCTAGTTGCCGCTGGACCTTTCGAAGATTCTTTCAATGGTCAACTTCCGACTGCTTACTCGAAAATACCAGTTGGTACAGAAAAACGTAATTCTACTCTCGGAGATGCTCGACACTTCTACGATTATCCTCAATAGATCGAAAATTTATCTTGCTCATCAATTCGATTTCGTATCCTTGTCAATTATCAATTTACTCTCCATTTCTAGGCTAGAAATTTCTTATTAATTAACTAAGCACTTTTGCCATTTTAATCAACCTGAAGTAATCAAGTCTCACTCTATTCATGTCAGTATTTATATCATTTTATTATGTTGATAATTTTGAACATCGATATGACTTTTTGATTGTCAATGATGTTTGTTTTCTTCAATGATTGATAATTTAATTCCGACTTTTAAACTCAATTGATTGATCTTTATCATGATCTTCTTTGGTTCATCAATATCTTTTTTTAAATGGTTTCTTATTTTGACTTTTATACTTAATTGTTTCATCTAAATCCAATTTAATCTAATCATGTGAATTAACCATTGCCATTATCTGGATTGAAATCGATTTACAATTAGCTTCTCATTGATTACAATCTATTAATTTATCACAATTAAGCTCATCTTTTTGTTTTCTCACTCTAATTGATCTCCTTTAGTTTAATTAATTTTCAAGTTTCGTTAATCATCCATTTGAAACTGTAACCATTGTTTCTGATATTAAACAATAAATTTACAATTAAATAAATTACAAGTTGACGTTTTTATCATAAATCAATTAATTATGATTGTCTGATTGTCTCTCTACTCGCTGAATGAAACCCAAGTGGGTTCGTTAAAACGCCAAATCTTTTATAAGAAAAATCTTTTGGTGCATTAACTTTATTCATTTCAAATTCGTTCTTATAATTAAATCAATTTATCTTTTAAGATTTGGAAATACTTTACGATGGTTGTAAGAATCTTGCAATCTGAATTCAACTTTTCGTTTTCATCTTCTTTTCCCAATCTCATACAAATTACCATTGAAATAACGCCTTACATGTGATATACATGCTCAGGTTCATACGAAAGTGTAATGAGCTATTCTGTCTTGATTTAGCCGGTTCAATTTTGGTTAGCAGTCATATGAGAAAAATACACCCTCAACTATCTTGAAATTATCAAGGATCATAATAATGTTAATCATTTTCTTAGTTCATTTGCAGTTCGGTTCATTGGGTAAAAAACCGAAATCATTGGATAGAATTGATAAATAAAACAAATGAGTGAGACTCTAATTTTTTGCAATCGATTCAAGTTAATTATTGATGATTATCATCACATAACAAACAAGATTAGTTAATTATCGCTGTTTGTGATTATTCAAAATACTGGTAGTTTTCATCTCTGGAATATTTGTAACTTCAATGTTTCATTTTGGTTAATTCATTGAGTAAATCGAAATGATTCCAATCTTATTAAATTTGTTTACTTTTATATTTCTCTCAAACTTTTATATACTCCAAATATCTACTGGTAAGTTTTGTCAATTCATTCAAAATCTTTTAATCAACATCAACCTTTAATTGTCTTAGAATCTCTTCACGATTTTCCTTGGTCAGTGGATAAAGGAAATTGGATAATAACTGCAAAGTTAATTTCGGTAAGTGGATCTTCAATTATTCTCCGATGATTCTTCAATAGTTAATGGAATATTCAATTTAGTCTAGTGATGAAGTTTACGATATTCGAGAGTACGTTCATTCAAGTGAAGTTGTTCGCGGTAAAATTACAATATCATCAGGAAATGATAAGTTGGATATTTTTTATTCCAGTGAATTCGAAAACGATAGATTAGTTATTCAGAGTAAGTATTGTAAAAGTGATAATTTACGAATGGTTTTGTGTTCTTAATCATTTTTACGTACCAACAGACCAACAATGTACTAAATTTACTTTCAAAAATCAATGGGACAACTTTCTTTTTAACATCGATTCGAAAAAGCCTCTTCTTAATCATGTACTGTTGACGGGACCTTCGATTCTGTTCAGGATCAATGGAAAGAGTTTAAATTGGGTAAATATTGTGATCATTTAATTTTCTTTTCTAGAACTCAAATAATAAAGTCAAGTTAAATAAATGATTGAATAGAGAAAAGGAGGAGATACAAATATAAGAGGATTTCCAGTCCATTCTGCAAAGACAACGTTCAATAGAAATCTTGATATTATTTATTATTACAAAAGTAAGTCGATTTTCTAAAGAAATATTCCAAATGTGGATGTATTATAATTTATCTTTAACATTGTTTATCATTACCAATTCTCTTAATGAAGCCCATTTAGATTCTCCTGGAATTTTACAAGCGAGTCGATTACAGTTCGAGGGTATGGATTCGTCTCTTCAGCTCGTAACTTTCAGAGAAAATGTTAACTTGGATATTTATTCAATTACTAAAACACAAGAAGAGCTTGATAAGTTTGTTACGGTAAGAAGGGTACAAAACATTTTCATCGATTATTATAAGAATTTATCACCTTCAGGTTACACCAGGAATCGGTTGTCCTTTGCACCTGATAACATCAAAATCTCATGACTGGTTTCAGATACCAGGAATGTCTTGGTTAGTTAATTATCATTTCGTTGCAACAACAACTGTTTATGGGCCAAAAAAATCAAAAACGTTGAGTGAGGTAAAGTACATGTATTATAATCTTTAGTGACACATCCATTCGGTTACATCATTCTTAATAACTGAATGAATCTTCTCTATCAAATTGGGAAATTTTTGTTTAGATGTTCGTTAACAGTGAATATCTAACCACAAGTTTGAAGACAATAGAACAAGGAATTATAACGGAATCTCTGTACGATTATAATTTGGGAACTGTACATGTATCTCTGAGTAAAGGTCGTTGTTTGAACTCTGGTGTTGGTCCGAATAGTCCAGGAATAAGTACTTACGGAACATTCAGTTCTGCTGGTTTTCTCAATTACGATTATGTCTATGAATACTCGTATCTCGGTAAAGTACATCGTATGTTTCAACATCTTCAATCAAAACTTTCTTACGAAAATCAAAACTTTTTTCTATTTAAATGAAACAAAGGAATCGGATACGAAACTTATGTTTGGGAAAGAGTTGATTACGATTATAAATTTGAGGAGAAAATATGATAAATTCGTTACCAGTCATTATTTTGTTTCGTCAGTAGTAATCGTTTCAATCGTTCATTTCACGATTGAAGTTGAAAATTTCATGAAATTTTCTGCAAGATCTTGACAAAATTTCCAATCCCACCAGGCTGATGCAAAGTTATTCAAAGGTTTTATTCTGGTCAAAACTAAAACAAACAATTATAAAAAAGTAAATAACGTAAGTGAGAAAAAAACAACTACATTAATTAATTGTATTAATATCTATTGGATAATACCGATGAAAATTCTCTTCTCTAAACATTCAGAGTACATATCAATTTATCGAATCCATTACAAAAGATTATTATGGATTAGAGGCTGAATCCGAAGTGGAATTATCATTACGTTTCAGTGATTGTTACCCTGATTCTACAGATAGAAAGACTTTCGAAATTTATTTCACTTGTAAAGAAGCAGCAGATTTGGACTGCGTGAAATATGCGGAAAATCATTTTAACGAGTTTATCGCCAATGCCAAGAAGGCTTTGGCGGGGAAAAATATTTCTTCTGGAAGAATTGTCAATATTGATCTCTCTTTTAAAGATCGAGATATCATAGTATCAGTCACCTTTTTGAAAATTCCCAATATTGAAGGTAAGTTTAAAATGGTACTCGGGTAAGTATCGAAGATGGAAAATAATTTTTCGCTCTTCTTTATTGACAGATAGTGTATTCAAAGAAAGAATAAAATTGTCCAAGAATACGATTTCAAGTTCATCTCAAGTATCTGCAGAATCAGTTGGAGAGTGTCTCCATAAACAAGCTGGATTCTATTTAGCCAAAGAGTAAGTATTCATGGTAACTTATCGAGCTTTAAATTTAATCTATTAATAATTTATCTATTCAAGAGTTATTATATTTTGTGATGCCGAAGATACAAGGTCCAATATTTGTGGTAGGCTTCAATCTGCAGAGAAAGTTGTCCAAGAGAATGCTGGTACAATTTGCGATGTATATTATCCAGTGAATAGTTTTTTTCTATTCAAAAAAGAAATCGATCTCGAAAATTGGAAGATCATATTCGTCGTCAGACATTACGCATCTACTTTACCGGTGGTGTACACACACATACTATAGTGTATGAGAAAACAAAAGTCATTGACGTAACTTATGAGTTAGATAAAAATAGAGACTCTTTCGTATTGGTGGCGACTGACAAGAAACTGATTGATTCTAATGGTGATGTTATATCGGCCAAAGAAGTTTCCAATCTTGGGGATTGTTATCGTACTTGTGCTCATGATAATGTCAATCTTTGTGAGACTTTCGTTTATTGTCAGTATACAGATAAATCTTCTTGTTATACATCAAATATTATCCATGCTAATTTATCCTCGCGAACGACAGAAGATGAATCTTGTAAAATTTACTCAAAGAACCGACTATTAGATTACATTAAGATATCTTCAAGAGAATTTAAAAAATCGCTTAGCATCGCTATTGATGTACCACTCGATGATTGTGCTTCAATGTGTAGTTCATCTGATGAGTGTTTCTCATTCCAACAATGTGATGGTTCTTGTACTTTGAGTGGCTATTATACTGATTCGATATCACAGGAAAGTAGCAATTGCGATATTTATATTCGTAAGTATTGTTTATATTTTTTTGAAGAGAAAATGAATATTTTTATTAATATAACTCAATATCTGAATTATTTCAGCGAAAGTTTCAGAACTATTTAAATCCACTGGCCGTCGTC